TTATTTCTCAACTTGCCATTGTTCCATCTAATCCAGACGAATGCCGCGAACGTGTACAGGTAATCTTACTTGTACGAGTTATCTATTTTTCCTTCGCAAATAATAGCAAAAATATTACATTGCATCGTATTCAGGGAAAGGCCTATTGCAGATGCTAATATTTTGCGTTAAAATTTATTATGATAAAAAATTGTCTATTAAGATCATTCGTTTGCGATACTTGAATTTATGATTTGCTACAGTACTTCCTATAATCTGTAAAATGAAAGCGGCAGTCAAGTCAAGCATGATTTACAATTTAATACACGGTATATTTTAGCGAATGTGTTGTATCGCTATGATACTCTGGTTTCATATTTCCGTCGTATAGCAACATGAGCATGTCTATAATACCTATTTCACTCTAAATTTATTCCTAAATAATCCATAGCTAACACCTGATTGCAGTAGTTCATATGCACTTTAAATCGTATTGGCTTGTGAGCTCAGCATTCGTAGCAAATTGCTGTATACAGGCGTAAATTTTTTTAATCTCAATGAATCCCATAAAGCGTAAGAATTATCCATAAATGATTTTTACTCTTTTCTGTTACTAGGCTATATGTGATGCTTTTGAAAGTTCCAATTTTTTTGTAAAGCCAGAATCAAGCGTAAGATTTTCCATAATTCAAAATTCTTACAATTAATAGGATATAAAATTCATTAGTTTCTGATACAATGTACAGTACAGTATATTCTCCATAACAAGCTGACATCAATGTTACAGGAATCTCGCCCGGTTGAAGATGAAGTTCGAATTGTCCGAAAATCTCCGTAAGTTTCTTTTATGTTATTGTCTAAATAAATTCGCCGATGATTATATCACTGTGAAATAATATTATTGGTAGATATAAATCTACATGGGTACAGCAGTTTAAAGCATTAACTTGGAGGTCCGCAATAACTATATGGAGAGAGCCAAGCCTCACTTCAGTTAGAGTGTTTCAAACAATAGTAAGCCTGCAAATACTGTATTGTTATAAAAGCAATATCGGTGTGGTTATCTCTTTATTAGGACAACAAAATAATTGATATTTTCAATAGGTAACTGCCCTACTATCTGGTCTGATATATCTTCAAGTAAAATACGATCAAGATGCTTTACAAAATGTTGCAGGAGCAATATTTTTTATAGTTGCCAATAGTTCCATGGGCTACGTATTCAGTGTTTTACAAGTATGTTCTACATGCACATCATCTAGGATATACAGTAGAGTGTACATGTATTGTTATCTGGCTTCCGTAATAACAGTTTCTTAAGGATTGAAATTTATACTGCATTTCGTTATTTGCCTATGCTGCAGACATTTCCTTTAGAGCTTCCTGTGTTTCTTCGTGAGCATCGAAATGGAATGTACAGAACGGATGTTTACTATATTTGTAAAACGATGGTGGAGGTATTGATTTTGCATATAAAATAGTACAATAAAAATTTTCACTTTCCGTTGTTTTACCTGGTATATCCGTTCTTTTTAACTTCTAATTTACAGATGCCATATTTCTTTCTACTGCCTCTTCTATTTGTGGTAGTTTCATATTGGATGATTGGTAAGAACGAGTTACATTAGCGGTGCAATTAAACAGTATAAATAAGTAATTTTACATTCTTCGCTTACATTGGGATCGTAACGTTGTGCACGATAAATATCATCGCTTCTTTCTAGGTCTGAATCCTGGATTCGTAAACTTTTTAATACATTATGGAATTGTTGTTTTAATTGCAAATGTTGCAACTTCGTACGGTAAGATATACCGTTATCCTAACTAGTTTATTTTTTATACATAAGCTCATGATACTCTGTGATACTATTTATTGTAGGCTACTTGATTTCAAGTATGTCAAGCTCCATTGTAGTTGCTACTGCTCTTGGACCGTTATTTGTTCTACCGCTTATGATCTTTGGCGGATTTTTTTTGAGAAGCGGGTATAGCATGAGCATCTGTTTTGTGATAGTAATTACAAACGAAAGCTGCTGTAAAAAATAACTACAACTAAACCTAACATTTTATTTTATTATATGATTTTTTGCTAGTTCGGAGCCAGTGTACTTGGTCTGGATCAAGTATATCTCGTGGTTCAATTATGGTTTTGAAGCATTAAGCATAAATCAATGGGAAAATTTTGGAAACCTAAGTACAATTCCTGAATTAATTTTATACTGACTTTTACTTACTTATTTTATTAATAATCATCACCTTTCTTGACACGTCTACAACAGCTTGTAGCCCCGGGTTACCTACCTGCTTTCACAATGGCCATGAAGTATTACAATTTTACAATTTCTCGCCGGTAAATTACAATGTGTTGTTCTCTCGAGTCTCATGATGTTTATGAATGCATATTGATGTCATATTTTCTTTAAAATCATTGGTTAAATAGGAAAATATTTACTTCGACGTCGGTATGCTTGCTGCTCTCTTGGTAGGGTGGCGAACCCTTACCTTCATTGTTTTATTAATCAAAACATCGAATCAACATGAATCATAGTTTATACTTGTTGCCAATACTTTAAAATTGTCTTAAAGCCATGCAGCAGGGAAGTTGCAGTAATTTATAAAAGTCTTGTGTATGTACTTTTTAATTCCTTTAAGAAATTTGAATAAGACTATTTGTTAGAATAGAAGAGATTGGTTTATATATAGTTAAATTGCAAGGTATATACACGTACATATAAATGGTATGATGCAATATATCTAACTATAACATTATATCGGTTTACGGTACCGATAGCATAAAATTGGTTAACGATAGCAATATTTATATGTGTATAGAAGAGTTTGCCAACTAGACGGTTGTCATATATTCAGTCATAGGTACATTAATTAAACAGTACCTATGCGATAAATACAGTAAAGGTTACCTTTATTGACATTTCTGTCCGGATGCTACTAACGTCATGTTTCAAGTATGTAAAGCCTTACCAAGTATTGGTATACTTAGTCTATCTAAAATATTCGAAATTTTAGAGAGGTTATGCTGTAGTTGCTATACTATGTCGACGTTCATGGTTTCGTCCATTATTTATCCAACTTATTAATGTTCTAGCTAATAAAAATTTTATGTTGACCTTGTATTGTAATGGTTACCGTGCATTTGCATCCAAATGTTCCGATTGGTCCAATTCTCACCATATAGCTAGTAAATATAATAAAATTATGCTACTGCAAGAGAGGAAAAGATTTCCCTACTTTTATTCTTCAATAGCAAATTCAGCTTCCTTAATATCAGTGCCTATCACCTACAAATTATCTTCGAATCGAATTACTAAGTTCAATTATGACGGAACTACAGTATAAGATTATCCAAACTACTGCATATGGTACTAGGTGTGATCTAATGTAACGTTTTGAAGCAGATGTTAACTTCATAATGGTAATAAGTAACTTAGTCATTCTCAGAATCAAGTTGGCTAAGTTCAGTTGTGATGTAATGTTACAACTTCCAAATTTTGTAACAAGTACTAGATCTGCACTCAGCAAGGAGACCCAGTAATTAAGTTGAAGAACTAACTTTATTGTTAAAATAATGAGTTTATATACTTTCTTTATTGTGACCTTTGATCTACTGGCGTAGATCACAAGATCATCACTAAGAGAAAGGTTTCCCTAGTTTAGGCATTACAAATAGGATATCATACCGAGTATGGCAACATGAGAATACATATGTAGATAAGCTTAATATAGTACCATAACTACATCTATATACGCATGACGTGATAATAACATCGTGATATTTAACCATATATAGAAAGAAGGTAACATACTAATTATGTAACTATTACAGAACGTGACATGTAACTACAGTATAATATTATCTAAATTTCTCCATATTAGATGTGATCTAATGCAGTGGTTTGAAGCGGATGTTAACTTCATGATGATCCCTAATGATAATTCGTATGTAATTTGATCTTTCTCAAAATCGAATTTGCCAAGTTCAATTATGATCAATCTATAAAATTATCCCAACTGCTTCATATTAGATGTGATCTAATACGCTATTTGAACCGGAGGCTAACTTTGTAATATTTCCCCTAGTCCGATAAGGAGTTATTAACACGCAAGATGTAGTGAGAGAGAGTAAAGGATAAATGTAAGGAATGGATCTAGTATTCGAAGTAGCGTCAGTATATAATACACTATATATAACACCAGTATAAACTAACTAGTGCCAACGTCTGACTGGCCAGTAAGTAATTAAGATGATATGCTCAGTTACTCACTACTGTCGATATGTATTCTATGCAGAAGACAGTAGTAGTGCAATATAGATAGAGCTATACCATAAAATTATGCAAACTATCCCATACTAGCTGTGATCGAATGTGGTGTTTTGAATCAGATGCTGACTTTATGATGACAATACAGTACGTATCTAACTTGATCATTCTCGCAATCGAATTCAACAAGTTCAATTATGATCAAGCTATAAAATTAGTGAAATTACATAACTATAAAATTATATTAAATTTGGCTCATTTATTTTCGATTGTGTTCATCTTTCCTGAATTTAATTAATTAATTATTCAAACTACCCCACACCCCGATATTATGCCATAAGCAATTACGCCTGCGTATAGTCATTTTACGGCTTTTCTAGGTCTAGACTTCTACTATTTAACACATTAATATTAATATTATTAACAAGTTTAAAATGATATAATCCAAAAGCAGCCCTTTACAGATATTAAATTAGCAACACTTCCAACAGAATATTCATTACAGCTATCTTCTAATCTATATCAACACCGAACGTGTTTCTACTAAGCAAGCAAAACTTATGGGACCTGTATTCTAATGTATAAAATACTTTACTATCGTTTCATTTTCCATTTTCCATCCATGTTATTGGAGGCTGAATGAACCATTTGGATTAATCCTCAATTCTTCTATTACTCTATCCCCATTTATTACGTATACCAGTAGTCGAAAAAGAACACTGTATCCGTAGCAGGATTATAATGCGTCGTATGATCAAGTCACACATTCATAAGAAAGGTAAGAAATAAAGCAAAAATGACGATTTTCGTCTGTACTAGGAATAAACTACACTACTTTCTAACTTTCTTATTAAGTATGGACTAGTTGTAACAAGAATTTAGCCATTATTACCTTACTCATCTATCTGTAATATTAGAAAAGGCTAGAATGATACGAGTGTGACTAGGTTAAAGTATAGCCAATACGTTGTTCTATTCTATATTATCCCCTAAAATGCCCATCGATGATAGTGCAATGTATGCTTACCCTCATTCGAAGGTAGGCGAAGTTAATCCGGTCATGGATGTACAACAACCGTTCACCAATGATTATTCACCATAGACATATATAGTAGATAAAATAGCAGACGTTTGATGATGACCATAAATGATATCCGATAGGACAATCAGGCCATTGGTGCACAATTTGTTCACGAGATTTACAGCATAGATACTAAAGTCAAATAGAAAAGTATTAAAAATATCAACCAGACAGAGGTGGTTGGAATGCTAAGCATAGATACACGATACAAATCTTTTCTCAATTTTGCAATAGCCTAGCAACTACAAGATGCTAACATTAGCTATTCTATATCTATTTCTTGACCAAAAGGCAACAATCCTTTCTTAGTAGGTGGCTATCTCATAGACAAATAGTATCATTTAGCTTTTTTATTGGATCAAATCAGAGAATCCCTCATACGACCAGTTCTCTTCTTAGTACGCTTGTTCACTGACATACAGCTTTAACAGGTTAACGAAATCAAATTAAATCATTTTTTGTCCTCTAAACAAGTAAGATTCGCGATAAAATCCAACCTACGCTAATTAAACTAGATCATTTCTTGCATACTAAATAAATAAAAACTTTCAATTAATTCAATCTATGCTAATATTATCAATCCATTGGTTAGCTTTCCAGTCCATAAATTATATGATTCATTGACGATTATTTTGCTAATAAATTAATTCAGATAGAATTCTGGTTTAGGGTAAATTATATATGTGAGGACTGTTTATAGAAATGAGAAAATCCTTCCTTTGATTATAACCTTATTTTCCGTACTTTCTCCATAGAAGCGTCAAAATCAGTTGTATCGCTGCAGCATCACCCGCTAGCTAGGGCACCTGACTTGGCTTGGAAAGAAATATTTTTAACAAACCACTCGATAGCAAATGCTATAACACTAGAAACGCCAATCGTCAAAGCGGAAAATGATATACGCATTGTGTGCATATCAGATACACATTCACTGCAATCTAGACTACCAGATAAATTTATCCCTGATGGTGATATCTTAATTCATGCAGGCGATTTTACTATGTATGGCAATGTAGATGAGGTTATTCGCTTTAATTCATTCGTAGGCGAGTTACCACATGCATACAAGGTTGCCGTAGCCGGAAATCACGAAATTTGCCTAGATGAGACTTTCGATTACGGTAGACATGCCTCTACTGCACAATGGTGTAAATCATTATTGACCAACTGTATTTATTTAGAAGACAGTTTTATAGAATTGTATAACTATAAAATTTATGGATCCCCGTGGCAACCACGATTTAGCGACATGGGTTTCAATTTAGAACGAGGTCAAGAATGCTTCTCCAAATGGAAATTAATCCCGACTGATACAGACATTCTAATTACTCATGGGCCACCATTAGGTCATGGAGATTATTGTAAAACGAGAGTCAGAGCTGGCTGTGTTGATTTATTATATATTGTAGAAAAGGAAGTTAAACCTTTATATCATATCTTTGGCCATATTCATGAAGGTTATGGGGTTACCACCAATGATACAACGAAATTTATTAATGCTTCTACATGTACACAACACTATAAGCCCACCAACAAACCAATTGTCTTTGATTTACCAAAACGAGTAGTGAAAGTTGATTAATCACTTTGTTTCAGTAAATTCGTCACCGTAATCCATGATTATTCTACAGGATTGTAGATTAAGAATAGGTTACTATCTACTGTCTTAAGTCTCAAGCGGCTCGATTGGAATAAGTTAAAAGCCTATGCTACGATAATTTTACTATCACAATATGGCATTTACAATTTCATTGAGTTCATCAATATAAACATTTTTTATTTCGTCTGTTTTTACTATTAGTAGGCCATTGAATTTCGTAAAACGATTATTATTAGCTGGTGGGCCTACGAGTATCCGCAATACTGTTCTGCTAAGGACTTGTAAACGTTAAACTTGATGATATACTGTGTATCATAAGAGAAATTTACACGTAACGATGATCAACTTATCTATGCATATGTTATAATCATTTTATAATATACCTTTACCTTTTGTTAAGAAATTTAAGGTAATGTAGCAGAAGACTATTCGTGTAATTGAATTTAAAGAAATGTTACGGTATAATTTCTAGCGCATCGAAGGTTTGATAATTTGCTGCAAGTCCAGTATAATTCAACTTACGTTTGGTAGTATAATTAACGTGATATTACATTTATTTATTAAAAATACATAAGAATCTTATAAAATTCAATTTTTGTATACATATATATATTATATATACATATATTATCGATCGGTTTATCATAAAAATTCATTCTTTATTCAACTTGCTAAAAGTTGGAAATGTAAAGCTACAAAACTGCAATCGTAACTCCTATAATGTTCTAGATTTACGACTAATCCTATTTATACGTATAACTTAAGTTTCTAACAATTCAATAAATTTTTCAACTCATTAGTACTGGAATATCCCATTCTCAAAGATAATGGAGTAACTTTGCAATTGATAATAAGTCAAGAAAAAAGTGATATGCTCACCGATTACTACGGGTATTTCATTATCAAGACAAGCTTATTAATTACTATTTTAAGCTAAAACTATGTAGTGTAGTTGCCTTTGATATATAAGGAGCAAATTTTTATAATAAAATAGCTGATTCCGCAAGGTTACGATCATGAACGGTTTTGCATGAAAGAATGAAAAGCTATTAATGTGTACGGACAATGAATCATTATACATATTTTGTAGATTGGAGGATTCAAAAGCTCAAACTGAATGTTTTACATATCACCTCATGATAGGATTATTTCCAAATTAACACTAAAAAATCAAACTTTATGGGGACAAACTGAATTGTGAGATTAACAGGCGGTGTGGATATTCAAATAGATATTAATATATGTAGAAGTTTGATCTACATCCTGTACGCTGTAGCATGCATCATTTAGAAAGCTTGAACTGAAATTTTGTATTCTATACCTTAACAGAAATACGGTACTTTTGCAATTCAAATTAAAAATTAAATAGTTGGGCAAATCGGTTTAGAAGATAAATAGATATTGCCATATAAGATAGTTGGACAGATGTGATCGATAACTGGTAATTGAGAAAATTGCATGTTAATCCATTACTTTTATATGTTGAAATCCTGATCACACATGCAACTTTTAGAGAATTTCAGTTAATCGCTAAGCATAATGTTATCATAATACTAGACAGATGGCGTCTCAAATTTAATCGTAGAATGTGTAAGTATTCTTATGCGTTGTATTGTATGCCTAGTTCTTAGAAAGAACTAGTGAATTTTACTATGTTCTATTACATAACACTATGTGTACTTTGCTATGGGCACCTTTACACGTATAAATCGTGCAGTTAGCTAATTACATTAGTACTCGTATAAGTCTCGTATAAAGCATATTCCGTTTTAATAATATGCTAATCTCCTGATTTACTTCATTACTTCGAGCTCCGCTATGAATTTTACTTAAAATCTACGCGTATAACATTGAAATGAACTAATAGTAAGCAATGATATTTAATTTCATTTTTGCATTTGTTCGCATCTTGGCTATAAAGGAACTTAAGAAATTAAAATTTAGTATTTACAAAATACATTAATAGCAATATTTACCCTTAGGCTTTAGAATTTGATATTTTATATTTATTATCTTTATGTCAGTTGCTGCCTAGTAGAATCTTTGATAATCGCTCAACAATTTTTATCAATTTCAATTTTTCGTGCATCCAGGTAATACAGTAGATGCTATATAAACCATTATCCTAATTACTAGTTCCTATTTAAGATGAAATTTTTCATATTGACTTTATTGTAAATCATAGAACTGACATCTGGAAATTACTTCATGATAATATCCAAATTTCCAATCAAAATCATTTCCGCTTACTAGATTCAGCTTAATAGAAGAATCACGGTCTAAATGGCATGTCTCATAGAAAAAAACATGCTAATACTTCGGACTAATGTTACGATCTAATATTATGAGGGTCATCATGGCAGCTAATATATTGGTAGGCTTTATGCTGCGTAAAACACTCATTTCTTTACCGCTAAATCACTGAATTGTTATATCGTTAAAACAACTTAGCAATCCGATGGCAGGGTAAACACGTTAATCTGGTTGCTCTAAAAATAGTAGAGTTCTAAAACACAAATACCACGAATTTAAACATTAAGGCCCCCATTACTGTAAATAAGATGAATCAATCAACAATCATAATATTAAATCCTTATTGCAGATAGAAAAATAGTAAGATCGTATGTAATTTGTTTCATTGAAATCTGCGTAAAACATGGATAAGACATTTTCATATAATAAAATACAGTTATATATTAAAATACAGAAAATACTTGAGTCTTCTTTTGTTAATTTAGGAAAGGTTCCAAAATTCAAGAAAATCAGCATAGTACAATTTTTCACATGTAGTTTTCAAACGTGGTTGCATTATCATACAATAACATGAATTTATATTCTGCTATCATGTATTTAAATGGTTTAGCAGCAGCTCGTAGGCTAAAACGTCAAGTCAAGCTTATTGGTAACTAACTGAAAGCTTTTCAGTTTGAAGTTCATACTTTTCTTTGTTTTTACAATAAATTTTTGATATGATGAGCAAAGATTTGGCCGATTATAGACAAGTAGAAAAAAATAAAAATTTGTCAATTTGCAAGTTACAATTTTTCAATTTGCTAAAGATGACTATTTGTCTACCAGCTTGTAAGGTCGACGATTTCTTCTTGATTCGTCATAAGGCTGCTGCTATTTTGTAGCTGTCCATATGTTAAATAAGGATCGTAAGCGGAATTAATAATATCATCATTTTCAATACTATTAGGATACAATAGAGTATCTATAGATGATTTATCAATTTCGTTGGAAATATCATCATCTGATATCGCTAATGAATCACTTGTATCACCAATACTGCTACTACTGAAGACTTGATCAAAATAAGAGATGGGTTGACATTCTGTAGTTGAGATTTTGACTTGATAATTAGAATCTTTATAAGCTAATTTATGCCTATTTTTATCGGTTAAAGATTGCTGTTGTGTAGATGTTAGCGACAATTCTTTATTCCGATTAACCCGAGACGATGATGTTAGCATTCCATCAACGTGCATAGTACTACTGTTATGACAGTGATGATAAAAAGGACGACGATATTTATCGAAATCTTGGAGCTGAGATCGTTTTAACGCTGTATTTTGCCATGCTAACGTTGGATCGGTTTGGGTTGGATTGGAACTATTGATCGATACTACCAAGTAACTATCTAAATCTGGAATACTGTCCAAATTTTGCCGATAGGATAATTCCATATTAGCGGTATTCGACTTTTCCGTGTAGCTGGTAAGTAGTTGCGGAGAAACATTGCCACTTGTTGATGCAGAAGAACAATCGGGTGTGTGCTCAGTATCATCAGTTATGCAAGATACTGATACTGGTGATGATGAAATTGAGTAACAGTCATCCATAGATCGATTGCCGTGGGTATAATCTAAATGAGATTGCTCTTCATCGATATCAGATTCACTAGTACCAGTTTCAGATGAAGGATCTAAAAATGGATCGTCGGATGCAATGCTAGGAATTTCATATAGTTGGTCTTGATTTTGGATGAACAAAATATATCAGAACTTAGGTTAGTTGTGATAAACTAAGGCGTGTAAATATATATATTTAAGGCTTAAAAGTGAACCAATACATCCCAATAATGAAAGATTATTAATTGACCGAAATTAAGGTAAAATTATAGGTGAGTTTGCATATTATTAATTGATACACATGATTGCAGTATTTTTTGCAGTAATATATAACGACGTATAGAAATACTATAACTTTTTCAAGTATGGAAGAAATGAAACATTGTTTGTAATGATGTTTAGTAACGGAATAATTATATCCGAGCGATTACATTAGCCTATTTTAGTACATGAAATACTGTAACATTTTCCAAGTATAGAATTAGTGATGTCAGACAAAATATCATGCAAGAATACTGTAAGACCATAGACTACTAAATACATCGAAGTATTTAGTAGTCCATGATAAGATCCTCAACATTAACACTACATAAAAAGTCTCTACTTGTAAGAGTAGACAAAATCATAATCGATTTACCGGTGGAAATAATGTTAACATTGCTCAGAGCTATTGAGCTATAGAAAACGAAACTACATCCATTCATAAAATCATATATTAACTAAAACTGCAACAGCACAAGTAATAAGAATTATCCATGCAGTATACCATATTGAAACATTATCTGAATTTATGCCGTTTTATTCTTGATAGATTAATATTAGCAACTTACCATCTTTCATATAATATTTGTTTAAGCTTTCCTGCATATCCGAATCTAGATTTCGATAATATTTCGATTCCATTGCAAGGCACAGATATTCATTTAACATCATTTTCAAAGTATGAATGGCATCTAATGTATTGGAATATGGAATAAATATAAGGACTTATATTTTAATTAGCAATACTTGCAGCTAAAATAATTTCCATGCTATCCTACTAATATCCTATAATAATTTATTATGAGATTACATAGATTGCTTTATTAAATTTTTTGCATTACCGCATACACTTGGTTCGCAGCCCTTCATTCGCGTACTAACAAATTGAGTTGCTTTCGACCATAAAGCCAAGAAATGGCAAGCGTAGGGTTGATATTCGTCTAATCGCATTAGTCCATTCTTGTTTTGTTGCAATATACAAGAGAAGATATTATATGTTGATAGTTAGCACTATATCCGACATTCTTTGATAGTACCATTATACGGTTTAGTAATAGATTTGTAATTATCGTGATCTTCTTACCTTAGCAACTTCGTGCTTGACAAGATCATCTAGCCATTCGATGTAACCATTTATTGATGATTTATTGGCCATCAGCTTTTTCCAAGTTGATATCACTAATGTAAGAAGAAAGATAATATTACGAATATTTCATTGAGTAAGATATCTAAATAAATCCTTCAAATTAGTTTTAAGTCATTCATTCTCCAAATGAAATAAAATCGAACCCTTGTTCTAAATTATCCTAGAAGTGCACGGGTATACAATGGTTGAGTTACCTTCATAAATTATAGTAGTATCCTGATTAGTCGATTCATGTTCGATATCATTAGTTTTTACTTTGATGCCCTTGACACAATGGACAATTTTAGTTTGTAATTCTGGCTTTTCGTAAAGTCTTTGCCATTCCTAATAATAATTCAAATAATTTTTATTTAAAATTTTATTTATTAGCCGTTCATATTTTATTTGCGTACGAATATTTATATAACAGTAGCGCGTATTGTTTCTAAATCAAATTACGATTGTCCACGTTAGGCTTATAATAGAAACTGTCTTACCAGCATCAAAAATATAAAGGAGGTTTGTCGTCGTAAGCTATGAATAAAGTGAGTGGCAACTACAATAGAAATAATAAATTAGTAGATTGTTTATAAAAACGAACATTTAATTTTATAACTTTTTCACTACCATGTGTTCGGTACGGTATACTATTTAAGAGCAAGTTATCAGCATGCTGATTGCTTATGCAGGGAATATTTGCTAACTACAATGACAGTTTTATCCGTCATTTTGCAACATAGAGAAAATGTTAGATATGCGTAAACTCAAATATTGACTTCAATTCCGCAATGTCATGGAAATTAGCGACTAATTCACTGTACAAGCAACAAAACTTTCAAGTTTTAAATATGATAGTTAGTTATACTTATATTGTGAGGAAAGTAGATTGGAATTAAGCGAGGCTCATAAGATATTGTTAATATTGAATTTATATTTATAACTTTACCTATTAATTTTCGTTTCAACAAAGTTTCAGGTAGATTTTTCAGGGCTGTGACCACCCAAGATTCAAATCGTTTCACCATGGTCCGTATTTCAGATAGAATACTGGCATGGAAACATACTTAGTTATTATTACATTCTACTGCAAAAAGGAAATTTCTTTCATTTTGGTATAAAGATACTTAAAGCTAAATGCAGAAAAACTAGTGAAATTTAGACTGCTAGCATCTATCCTTATTCTCATAATGAAATAATATCCGCACTGAAGATTGTGCGAATATTTTGTAATTATTCTACATACTGTCCAGACGCTGCTTGCATCGCTTTAGGGATCATAATGTCGTTTAAAACCTAATTATGAGATAAATAAAAATGAATATTAAATTTTAATATTCTTAACGATCTGGTTTAATTGACATCTAGCCCATAGCGAAACACATAGGGCTGATGGCGTTCCAAATATCTTAAAAAGCTTCAAACTTTCACCTTGTATAACGTATGATCGTAATAGCAAACTATGTCAATAACGGCGGGTTCTTTCATCAACGATATCAAGTGTGTTGGAATGCCTTGCCAAAAATGGCATAAAAATGTATCAATCTGCAAAATTGCAAATAAAGAAAGTTAAGGAAAATTAAACATTTATTTCTGATTGATATCTATTCGAGCAGTAGGCGCTTTTCAAATCATCTTGACAAATCAATAACTTACCTGATCGAAGTTTGCATTGATAACCGCATTTAATACGCATTGACAATGCGTTTTATACATTATAAAGAATGTATCCACCTGAAATTGTGGGCAGTATCAATAAGGTAAATAAATATTTATCGCTATTATGCTCTATCGTACGATAGATTTTACTACTTGATAAATCAATTAGTAAAAGATTAACATGTTAAAAGATTATATTTGATAAAGGAGTTGTACATTAGTTGTGATTGTTTTTATTCTTCTTTATTCTTACTTTGGCTGTAGGAATGTTTGACGGAAAAACTAACCGCTTAGCGCTAGGAAACGGGGGAAGCAAAGTACCAGTATTTTCGCTAAGATACTGGCCCTACGAATTTAGAATATTATAAAAATTTTGGAATTATACACTATATAATAAAGTAGAAGCTCTGTCATTATAACTGAAAACTTTCGCTACTTGACGATTTACGTTTAGATTCAAATTAAATCTATCGACAATTGCAACTATGAAAGCCAATGAACGATAGAATTTAAGACTAACTTCTGTTAATTGTGGTAGTATAAACTAAAGGAATAATTGCATTCCCAGTTTTAATAAGTATTTTTGAGATAAAAAAATAATAAGAGCCTTATTAATACTTGTATTTGACATTTAAATTACAAGTAAATAGTATTGGAATAGAATTTTTAAAAATAAGATATGGTACAATATTAACAGCTACCTTGGGATCTATTTTTCCCTTACTAATGCGATCATTGTAGATAAAGTCTTTAATTAACTAAATTATTAACATTATGTTATATAACCTACTTGATCAGCTGTTCTTCCTCCAGAAAATCTGCATAGAAAAATAACGAAATAAGAAATCTAAACTTTTGCAATTGCAGTATTATTCAACAAAAATTTTAATTCAATTTTAGCCGAAATAAAAATTCTTGGTATCATAAATAAATAGATAAGCAGATGTATACTTGCTCTTTCGCCCACACGTATAAAATTTCTTCTGAGATGTTTTTAGAACTATAAATTTTATCATATTTACCTTGTCAAACCGGAAAAAGAGTGCAAGCCATTATAATATGGTGAGGATTCTTTGATTCCAATTCCATAATAATGATATCTATCCAATTCGGTTTTAAGTACATAGGATATAAATAAAGGATGAAACGATTAGTAACTGAAATTATTTCACGGCACCTTAGCTTTGGTAGACTAAAATTCATCTGCAGGGTGTTACTAATATATGCATCTATACTCGTATTCTTCTCATGACGAAGATACCTTCTATCTCGAACTAGATATCAAGACTAATTCCCCGTGACAACTATGAACTTTTCCTGAAGTTTCACGGCAGAAACGATATAGAGTTCCTCTTTTATGCGTAAACGATAACATAACGAACTTTCTTTATTGTAAAAAGTAAATCGCCTTTATACCAGCATCTATTTGTATATTCTTAGAACTAAATTTATATCACTTTATGTTCTATTTTAAAATATTTTAGAACACGCATATAACACGAGGCGGTCATGATCAGAACACGATCTGACCTTTGAGCTCTCTTATAAATTAGGTATGTAACTTATTCAACTGCCATTACTGGAAAAGAATTAGTTTTATAATCTATAACCTTAACGATAAGCTATCAACTGTATAACGATCAATACAACGTATTTACAATGGTGGTCTATAACATCATGACTCAGGGTTTCATAATTTGTATACGATTTGTTTAATGCATCAGAAAGCTATTATGAGCTATTGTCATTCGATTACACGATATAAAGTCGTTTATAAGGAAATCAATTTAAATAAACGGAATATAAAATATTTCATAACTTACTTCGATTTTCCACGCGTTCCAAGTCTTCTGGTAGTAAGATTTGGAAATTTCTGACGGATGGTCTGCAGATTACATCGAACAAATTAGCAAAAGCAATTGAATTACTAACGTTAACAAATCTATCCTGATGATATTTAACTGTTTATTGTATTAAAAAATTAGTTCATTAATCATATGCTTATAATAGCCATCAGTCGATAGTACTTTACTAGCTTAATAGATATGCTAGATTCAAACTGTGCCAATACTATTTATTCAGAGGACATAAATTGCTTCATTATAGTCGCTGATTTGAGATTAATTTTGTAACATTTTTTCAAGTCCGCTGGAATCTTGAATTTGTAGCATAATTTACCGACTGGTAGTTTTGTGCGCTTATACAAACATAGTGACTAATTAATTACATTTAGAAGTTACATAAATTGCAAGAATTCAACTAAAGTATAACCACGTGTTTACAGTAAACTCGCCAAGCTTGTAAAGGATTCATCAACTTAGTATTTCCTTTCAGAATCGACTATATTTTTAAAAACGCTATTTATTCCTACTTGACATTCACAATTAACAAATGATCCACTCTGTTACCCAGTTCTATTTCCTTTGGTACTGAGACCTTTTATCTTGACATCAGTCAACAATCGACAAAGTGTGGAATTTATAGGTTAAATATAAATTTATATTGTTGAGAACCAATCTATCAGCCCTTTACCCATACTGTATATTATTTTAACACAATAAGGAACATTAATATAGAATAGAGGCGATTCTGTCGTATGAATTATCGATGTTACCTATGGATTATAATGGTTTTAATAAATCATGGAGAAATAATTATTTCCGGAAGATTTCTCGTTTAAGTCATTTATCCTGTAGCTAGGAAAGTTTTGGAACATGAATACATTGGAGACTAGAATTACTTAAGGCGGACTAAACGCCCCTTAGCCACGCTATAGATTCTAATCGTTAACGGAAGAGTTCAAGGTTAATCGCAAATCTACAAGTTAATCTACTTTTTTGCCAGCAACAAATAACATTGATCGCATGTACTTTAGCTATGGGATAAACAACAACAATGATGACAAAAGAGATGCAATAATATTTAAATAATGTCAATAAGGTTATATTGCTTATTGACATTTTTCCATTATTCGATCATAACATGAAGAGTACAAGTAGTGTGTGATCAATTAAGATCAAATAAGACGACAATAGTAATTAGAGTAATCGATTATAAGCAAATGGTCCGAGATAAAGTCATCGAATTGGCAAGCAAAGAACACATTTTCAAATAATCGGACTGAGATGAATGATCAAGATTAATGATTATCCCCGCTGTAAATCATGATAAGATATGAAATGCTTTGTTAAAATGTAATTAAGAGCCGAGAACAATACGTAACGAGAACTCTAATTAATCTAATTAGGTACTTAATCATCAAATCTATTCCATGATTAATGATATAACCAAATAGACAGGGTATAGAAATCGAATTTTATAAGTTTCCCTAAAAAAATGTGTCTAGTTAAAGATGCTTTTAATAATTTAGTTGAGATAAAGTGCTAAAAGATTAACGTGAAATGTATCTGTATTAACAGATGTTTAGTTATATTTTTATTTCCATTAATAACTTTTTATCTAGTTATATAACTAATCTTTAAAATATACACTTAGTATGTTATAAGTGGTTCATATAAACAAAAAGTGTATAAAAAACTTTGAAAAATAATTAAAACAGCAATCCTCCATCGGAAAAATGATAATCATTCCCTCACTAGAATATAGCAACATAATAAAGATGAATTAAGATTGCCTAAGATTTTATTATTTTTCGCACTTAAACTAATCTTATCGTAATAAGAATGATACCTATTTAAATTGATTGAAATGCTATTCTGTGTAAGACGCGAAAACAGTCATTTTAGTTAATTAAAGTACTTGTGATATATCTATAGTGAACAACTTCGTCATACCTGTAAGAAGGAATTCTTTAAGGATAATAATTGTGACAATATTTCAACAGCTTAATATAGATTAATCAGTTAATAAGCTGATCATGTTTTAATGTAGTACTTGGATAGACTTCATTACAATAAAACATGCCAACATATGAAACACACATGTGATAACGAGGAAGAAAAAGTTTTCAACTGTGATTTATTATGGCGGGATCATTCTCCAAATAGATTAACTTTACCGTTAGGTCGATCGCTATTGCTAAAGAGAGAACTGTGCAATAACTCTATAGCAGGAAGTGATAGATTATACTGCAATTAGTAACTCTTATGACTAGCGTTTCCAATATAATGCATCTGTAAGTTTTATTTAGCACTTATTTCCTAATTAAATTAGTTCAGTGTTGCGACTCTTGCTACTGCAATTACGGTTATATTTGGCAAATATCGAAAAATACATAATGAATGATGATGGATAATGATTAACAAATATTTTCTCCTATATAATTGGTTTTCCTATCAAAATATAATTACTCTAATAAGAACAGCAATAGTTTCATACATTACATCAAAACTCTTGTATTGAAAGATTGTTGACTACAAGTACAAGTGGTAATTATTTAAATGCTTGATAGTACTAGATAAAACGATTGGAATGTATTTTAGATAGTTTTTGGTCATTACAAAATGTTTTAAACCTTACATCATTTACCTAGAGTATAGTAGCTGAAACATTAACTCTCGGTGATAATAATATATTGTGATTCTCTGAGCCTCTTCTTTAATGATATTCCTACCCCCTCTCTTATATCTACTATCTCCTCCCCTATCCGCCTTTTTTTAACACTAATGTGCTACGCAATCTAGTCTAAATATCAACGTAATGAATCAGAGAAATTAAGAATATAGGCCAATTGGATGTTATTGACTTCTTAAATTATAGGGTGGTTTAGGATATTAGCATATTTGTACACAAATCATCGATAATAATAACAATGAAGATCGCGGATGTTTATGGATTAATTTGCAAATGTTCAGGTTCAAGGACTATTGTATTGAAGTACGATAACCCGCTTGGCCAAAGGGGAAAGAAACCAAGTAATGGATAGGAAACTATAAAATATCAATTCTATAGGCCTCAAAAAGTGAAATTTATGCCGAAAACTCGCGTAAGTCTTGATCGTCGTGTTAGGGTCAGAAAAAAAATCTTCCCAGCTAGAATTTGAATGGACTGCAACTGTCGTCGCTATACGAATATAGACAAAAAAAGTGTGCTAAAAAGAATAATTCTTACCTTGCCAAAGGTAGCTGGGCAGGCGGCTATAACATTTCTAGCTCGACAAAACTCCAAATAATGACCGTAAAGTATACATCGCGGCATACAAACACCTTCATTAACGGTATAGTTTTCATCTAACCTGTTACAAGGAAATATAGTAATTATTACAATTGAGTAGCAATAGGAGCTAATCCATATATTAAACAAGTTTTTATAAGCTATTTCATCTAAGGTATATGCGGATGCACACGACTGTAAGTAGACTGGTATATTTAAAGGAAAAAATTACAAACTTAAATTTCTATGCGTGAAATAAATCAAAGTCAAATGGTTAGCTACCATTTAATAATTTCAATATTGCGGCACTTTTGCAGTGTTTTATCTAGGATTTTATTCTGCCCTACAGTCATCTTTTCTTGCTGATGAATCGGCTTGTTATCCAATGGCGATTGATCAGGATATGTAGCGATTTGCCCTGGACGGTTAATGAAATATATAAAAATTATACGACGTTAAAAAATAAATCATATCCAAATTAACGGTCAAGCACTTGTTTAGATCATTATTTTACATTTTAAGGTCTACCGATGCGCTACAAACATCATTAGAGAATACAATATTAATGTTAGTCTATGCTATTTTTTCGGTGACGTTAAAGTAACGTTAACCTTAAGAAGAGAAATGGCTGATATGCATGGAGATTATAAATAAATTATTAACATCTTTTAATTCTTCAGAATAGGTATAATCCACTTAATAGATCTTATGTAATCGTAATCGATATACTGTAGGATATCATTTTCTTCTAATTTCAAAACAATAAAAGCCGCATTATTGTTTTTATACCTTATGTCAACAATATTACTTGTATAAATACGATAAGGTTAAAATTAATTTTCATAAGAATGTCCTTAATCTAGTAGGCATTTATTATAAACTCTTAATAGTTATATTTGATATCTAAATAAATTAGCTTATTTATCTTCAGTATTGTATTGATAGGATTGATAGAAAAGAACGGAGAAAGAATATTCGTGATGTTAACAAAAAGGATGACGATGAAATTATCGATCTTCCATCAGAAATTGATGGCAGTAATTGCTTGCTGAAATTGCATAAAGTACAGTACACCTAAAGAGTAATGTCACCGGAATACGTAAATGTATAAAAAATATCATGTAGCCTAAAGTAAAGAGAAGGCAATGAGAATAAAAAATTGTAATACGATTCAGCTTAAGGAAGCTAAGTATATAAACGATAACAACTAGAGAAAGAAAGGGCACGAGGTAAATGAGAGAAAAAGCTACATATTGAATTTGTTGATAAGCAAAGAAAATAACATTACTATAGGAAAACGAATTTCACGCTATCACAAATTCTGGAAGTAGAATAGTAGAATTTACAAGGTAACGGGCGACAAATTAGAAAATAGAAATAAAAATTCAATAAAATAAATCTATCTTAAATTTAAGTACGTTGTATTTTTTCGTACTATGTTAGGGTTAGGGTTAGGGTTGTGCAAAAGGGATAATTTTTTTGTACGTTTTAGAGAAAAAGTCATTTACGGCAGTTATCTATGAATTAAATCTACCGTCTTTAATATCTACGAAAGTTCAAATGCATTAAATTTTTTCTTTAGGAGTTACTGTAAACCATTGGTTATTAATAATTAAATATAAATTATTCTACTGCACATCTTAACCTTTCGTAAAATTTCTCAAGGCCTATTTATTCAATTAGCTGGAGTAATTCTTAATGCAAAAAAACTTGGCTAAAAGATTTCGAGCTGCAAAAGATTTCATACCTGTACTTGAAATTTTAAAGTTCTTTTTTATGACTACAACATTATGCCCTCGTCGTTTGCGATTAGATAGCCTGTTATTACGGTAGGCATGGCTTGATTTCCGCGTAATTTTACCCTGACGTTCTTTTTTTTTCATAACTTTTCTGCACCCAGATTAATTCTAGTTATAAATCGATGCATAAAAATAATGCTTTTAGGTTGATAGTTTATGCCAAAGTTTAGACGAAATCAAAGCAGCTAGCTCACATTTTCAGTTTATAGATAAGAGTGTATTTTATTATCTAGTTTTCTATGACTTAGCTTATACTAGTAAGCATTCCCTAAAATTTGCTATAACTGCAATAGTAATCATCTATTAAGGTGAGATCAACTATTAGTAACGTTATGACAATCTGTTTTCTGAAGAGGCTTCTATTATTGTTTTAGTTTGATTATGATAAATTACGTAACATAGGCGATTGGATGAATAAATAATCTGGAGATAAGTTAAGATACTAATTCTTTCATGCAGCAAAACTGATGGACAGAAATTACATCAACTAAGTATGATTGCATGAAATTTAATTGCTGTAAAGATGAGATATAAAATAAAGTATGACAAATGAAGAAAAGAAGGAGTTGACAGTATAAATCCCCATAGAAATTTGCAATGGCGAACGTAAAATCGTAAACTGTTTTAAGAATAACTATAAATTGGATAAATTAAATCTCGAAGGATGGATATACAGTAAATCAAGAATAGCAGTATTGCTTACGATATAGGACAATCTTTCAGGTTGAACCAAAATTCAATCCTTTAGCTCTATTTTCACTCTTTATTAAGATCTGCAATCAGAAATTCACTTATCTACACAACGAGCTGTTGGCGATGCAAAGTGCTTCGTTAAACTGTTGATTTCAGAGCCTCGATGGGGGTGGTAATATCAATATAATCTAGATTTACTTGGATGATTAAGCTTTCTATTGGCTACGAAATACATAGATTTACATATATGATCAGATCATCAAACTTGTTGATGTTGTATAGCGTGCGCATAAAGGGGATGGGCAGTCCATTATAATGATGGATTAGTGGATTATTATAATGATATCGTAATTGATCTCAATCACTTAATCAATTATTGACATAAAGAACTAATCATTCAGTTTTGTCAGTCATCGGTTTTTAGTCGTAACAATTGAATATGGCATGGATAACGGACGAAAAAGATAGAATCAAGGTAGTAATGAAGAAGAGCTAATTTGGCTGATATTGAAAACTTACTAATATGTGTAGCGCCAGTCTATGCTAATTTTGATAGTTGTTATTGGCCTAAATTGGAACTTCAACTTCGCCTTCTTCCCTAATGGTTATTTGATGTTATCAGTATAATCTTGAAGGATTATTATTCTCTACAGTTACTCTATTAGAGCCAGCTCAAGTCTTAATTTACACTAACCTAGTTTTTACCTTATGTTCTATATATTCAGAGATAGCAATAAATTTTATCTAATTTTGCGTTAGAGTTTCGATTGTAATCTAAATAGTTTTGCAGATATGAAAGTAAGACCTCTAAGGCTCCATATATAGTTAGAGAGTATTTAGTCAATTTTAGCACTTATTGGATACTGAAATAGGTGCAATTTGATGATTATTCTTATTATAATTATAGGCAATGTAGCGATTTTTTATGCTTTGTTGAATAGAGATTGCTATAAGTTTATTGTGCAAACTTCAATTGAAATGAAAAAAATTGACAAATTAAACAGAAAGACAATCAATAAGATCGATTGCAGAAGCAATCGTGACGTCATATTAGGATAGAAACGTGTAATTTATTTAGTTTCTCGAGATGCTTGAGTTTATCTGATTCGATTTTATACCTTATTAAAGACATTAATGAATTCTTAAGAAAACTAAATGAAATGAATGCTTAACTATTTTTACAGCTAAAATATGAAGATGGAGGTTGAATTGATAATTTTATTGGTTGCAATATTGCATTCATAATAATTAAGGCTGAAAGGTTTTGAGATTTGATCGAACATGTACAGTTCATGATTGGAATGGCGGATCTTGTTCTTATTAATTTATTGTTGTTCTTATTTGTACGGATTTTGGCACGGCTGCCAAGTGAATGATATAGAACTAATTGCAAGATTTTTAAACGAGTTTTAACTTGTTATGAATTAATTATAATTATCGAGCAGTGATGAAATTTATTATTAGTATAAATTTTTTGATAGTAGTATAGTAACTTCAAAGTTTGTTGGATAACTAAAATTACGCTATTATAATTCCGAAGGGACTAATCGCACTATTGCCTTGTAACTATGCAAGAAATTGGTCTATAATTGATTTAATATTATGACATCTATTTGCTCTCTATTGCAACATTGCACCGTTGAATACTGCTGAAAGAATGGCTTTTCAGTATGGAAAATAGTATTTTATAAAAGCTACCAGCATGATCAACAAGCACCTTGCAGAAAATTTTTCCCTCATTAGAGAGATGCAGCTAAGTGTATTTCATTTTACAGTGAGCGATATTCTCTTAGATTTATGGTGACAGATGTACTGGTAAACATTAAGAGAAAGTGAATAGCATAAGAACAAGTTTCATGCTGCTAGAATACTACAAATTAAGAGACCTAACGTAAAGTATGATAATTGCACGAATTCATCAGTGCCTGTTTAAAAATACAAACTTTAATACAGATATAGGTTCTATAAGGTATATGTATACGGATAAAATGCTTAGGAATACAAAAATAAATAGTTCTTTATTTAACACTAATCACGTTATTCTACATATATTTTCTGAAGCTATACTCGAATTATAATAAATCGTATTTAAAGGGCTAGTTTTGAAATGGATTCATTCTACATTGCATTAATATTGATAGATTTTTAAAATTCAAATTACAATTCCAAATTTTAACTCCTAAATAGTGAATGAAAGGTGGTTTCTACTTAGAAAAATTTATTTATTACGCTATTAACCTATAATTGGTCACTAAATAGCGTATTAAGTTAAATAAGTAAGCAATCGAATAAAATTATCAATACTACTAGATTATCATTATTTAGGAATTAGGGAGAACATGTGATAAATCAGGAAGGAATCTTATAATTAGATGATCTAATTTAAAGACGGTGTATATTTCCTTTATAGAAATATCTAGTATACAATAGAATTTGCATAATAAACCTTCTAAACTTTCGTAGAGTAATGATAAAATCTAAATTCTCGTACACTTTGACTAGAACGATACTTTAACCATTAAAATTAGAGAAATAAACTTTCATTGCTTTGTAGCATGAAATATAGGGACTGAAATAGTTTTGTAAAATTTTAGCTAGAGAACGAAATTTAGAAACTAGAATATGGTTAAACACTGAATTTAAAACTAAGGTAGAATTGTACTGGCTCAGTTAGCCAAATAATATTAGTAAAGGAAGATTTAGAAATTATTTACAATAGACTTTAAGAGCAAAGAATCATCATATTCTGTCCATCTTTTCTTGTTTTCTGCTAATCTGTTGAACTATACTGTTTTTATAAGCTTTATGGAGACATTGATGATAGTATAAACATGGAATGATTACCCTACAACGCTTTAAATTAGTCTGGAACTTATAACAATTAATTAAACACACAAGGGAGAAATGATTATACTCCTTATTATTCTCTCTATGCTATCAAATTAACAATCTGGGCACATTCATAAATAAATTTCTCTATGACATATGTGGTGTTCAAATGGCCAACTTTGCACGTTAATATGTATGTACAGTATAATGAAAACGAATAATGACTAATATTTATAAATTATTAACTTAATAGAATGCTTGCCCGTGATACTTCGCGTAAATGCATTGTTAGTATCTCATATAATTTCTACATCAATTTATGATCAAAGTCAGCCATGATTGCAACATTTATGATACAATCCTAAATCTGCCTATTTTACGGCAACATGATTTACTTTATCCCTTTCACTCTCCTTAATAATTTAGAGAGAGATCTTTCGTAGAATATTGATCATGTTATTCTATAATTATATAATAAATGAATTTATGACGACAATTTTAAAATTAATCTTCATTATTGTAGGCTATATAAAGACTTATTAAATGACATAGTTAATAGTCATAATTTCTTATTTCTTAATTTAAAAATCTTCTTAATGTTAGTATTATAAAAGACATAATTAAAATTTATGCAGGATGTACAGTATAATTATTCCTAAGCGGCTTAGCCATACTAATGTATGAGAAGTTGTTGTGATAGAGATCAATAGTTTTTGATGTCTACAATTGTGTAATAAAACAAACATCCAAATTTCAGCCAATGTAGAATAAACCAACGACTGAGAATGTATCAGAATCAATTTGTAGTCTCATAAGTTATTCACTAGCGAAGAGTAATACCGAATAAATTTATATCGATACGAGATGGTACTAATGCTGATAGCTATGTCAGAGACGAATAAATTCACTATCTAGCTATGGATCATTAAATCTGTTTTTCAAAGTTATACATTTTGCAATCCATAGTCTAGTTTATTGGATTATACGTTGTAGAGTTGGGCCGTTACAAATCATGAATTGTTAATAACTCTTGGTGAAAGTTGAAAATGGGCTATCTGTACTTTTTTAATAGATTTTAATTTATAATTACTATGCCTAGCAGAATACAAGAGAATGTCTACATGAATTAAGATATCGATTTTTGATTAGCTGTATCGATATCATATAAAATGACAAACTTAGAAATAATCTAAGTTTCTACAGCATAAAAGAAATGGTATACTTCAGATTGTGTCGCGGTTCTTGCCCTACTTATGATTAGTATACTAATAGCATCACTGCCAAGTAAATTCTTTTATTATATATTACATATAACTTTTAGTATTTCTTTCAAAACAGTAGCGTCAGTTATAGCGGTACTTGTAGTAGCCCTTAGAAATGATACAAATATTATTTTGAATTAAATTACATTCATAATTCAAATTATTATTCAAGTAGTAGTCGATCCAGGAGTTGAAAGGTTTAGGATAGAATCTTCAAGCAATTTGTTGGCTTTCACGAAACCAAATTTTAAAAATAAGGCCTTTTGGTCTTGTATAAATGTTATATCAGATCATTTAAGTACCTGCTTGTTATATGAAGTCTTTAGTGACAATATTCATAATAATTCCTACAACTTTAAAAGGATACTTTTATATTATGTGCACCAGGAGTTTCTGACGAGACTATAAAAGGCTGATGCCTGAAGATTCCTTTTTAGTTCGTTAGTCGGTTAGATAGTCAACTGGTTTTTCAATTGATATTTAATTGTGAAGACTATAATCTTGGGTGCCAAGATTCCTTCAGTAATAAATGATAGTAAATCTCTGACTATCTCGTCTACATCATCTGTGACGCTATAATTATACCATAGTATTCGGTTGTTGGAACTGAATTATTTGGTGATATAGCTAATCTCGCCTCTTTAAGTTAGTAAGTGGCGTTCTCCGCAAGGATTGGCGTGTGTAGACTACTTTGTCACTAGTGGTGTGTGACACTGCTGTAAATCAATCAATGTATTATGGCATCTAATATCGCTAAAGTAAAGCGAAGATAACTACCGACGGTGGACTGCTTGTATCTCTTATATAGCAATAGAGAATCGCAACACAGTAAACCGACACAATCTCAGCTAATTTTTGCTGCATTTATTGAATACGAATATAGAGGAAATAATTATAAAAAGTAGTAGGTTTATTCCTTACGAACATTGTCGGTCACAGAGATGAAAGAAATTAGACTTTTTATAGTTTGTGGTAATGTTTCATCTGACTATATACTATCATTTATATTTACAGCAATTGGGGAACATGAGCTCAATCCCGGATAAGTGTTGTCGCCAGATTACATACGAGTACCCTTCATCTACGTACACTTACTAGTAAGTAAAATTAAAAGCCTGTGATTAATTCTTGTCAGTCGAAATATACAATATTATAAATTTAGCAAAAATGATACAGTGAGAATGATTCTCGAAAGCTCCGTCGCAGCTTCGTGAAATTATATTTTAAGGCAACCAACATTTTATAATTAATTTCCTTACATGAAGCATAACAGTAGCTAAAATAGTGATAAAGAAGCAATAATGGAATATTATCCTAATTCACAACTCTTATTAGCGTAAAACACAACTTTGTAGAAGGTTTTGCATTAATTTTAATTCAGCTCACAATCTACCCTAGAAGTTAAATCTATACTTAATTCAACTATAATGCATTAATTGATCATTTTTATGACGAAGTTTATTATAGCTATTTAGTAACATCAATATACAGCATTCTTATAGTTTTCAGCACTGGTCACTGTGTGCTAATAAATAGCTGATTTATAAATTACAGTACTGTATAAGAGGCCTCTTTAGGTAGCAATAGCCCGTCCCACCATGTAATAGGCAATGAAGAAAATGACGACGATAAAGAGTATTAAGTAACACATGAATCTTGGATTCTGGCTTGCAGATGACACCATTGATTTTAATCTCTTGTTACTACCACCCAGTAATGTAGTAGTACCTTCAAAATCTCCTTGCTATAAAAACAAATACGTCAAGAATATGGTGCTGGCTTAGATATCAGAAACTTGAATCCATCGATTGATTCAAATACAGTAATTGGCAATAGCTATAGTTATCCAGATACGGGTATAGCTGGTTGATCATTAAGTATGTATAATTTCAGCATCTCAACACTCCCAAAGTGAATTTAAAAATATTAAGATAGATAATTAAAAGAGTAAAACTATTGTATTATCATACCATGTCATCTAAATAGTGGTTATGATTTCTTGCTTCACCTTCTATATCAACAGTTAGCTTGGAAAGATATAATTAAAAGTTATTATAACAAGTACAGTTAGTAGAGATATAGAGAAGACTAAGTTGCTTTTAATGCTGGTAACATCTTTCTATTTATATTGATATCATTAAGATTATTCTTTCCAATGAGCAATTGTAAATCATCTTGTGACAATTTCCTGTCTACTACGTATGTGTACTAACTGATTTTAGTTGAGATACTTTGCCAGCTAATCCAGCAATTTGTCTATCATTTTCTTCTTCTAGCATCCTATCCGCTTCAGTAAAATTGCCACCTTTCATAGGTCCTTATATTTAAGAGTTAAAAAAAGTAATGAAATCAGATAATAGTTTTAATTTTAACTTTTGGCTATTTCTTCAAGGGATACTTACTTCTTGAAGACCATCCATTGTTGGCAGCCATATTTTCTGATGTCATTGAAAACTTATGAACATGCGCTGTTGGTCTTCAGAGCTGCTCAAGGCCAACAGTCTTTTTCCATTGTACTGTACAATGTACAATGTAATGTACTGTACACTCTACAGTACAGTAACAGTACTGTACTGTACGTACAGTGTACAGTACAGTATTAGTCTCCGGAGTCCCTGACTATACAGTACGACAGACGGACAATGTGTACGTGTCAACAGTACTGTACAGTACTTCATTCACAACTTGAGATTAGAAGTACCGTACCGGGACCGTACAGTATACTGTACAGTACAGTACAGTACAGTACTACTGTACACTGTACAGTACAGTACAGTATACAGTATAGTACGGTACTGTACTGTAGGTACCGATTCTACTGTACAGTACAGTACAGTACTACAGCACATTAGTTGAGTCATTTTGGGATGGGAAGGGCCACAGGGGTCACGGCTAGAGGGGGGTTTCATTGTGTACAATGTACAGTAGAGTGTACCGTGGGTTCTTCTACAAACTGTACACTGTACACTGTACTGGTACTGTACTGTACCGTACCGTACTGTATTTATTTATTATTGTAGGCTGTTTCTGCATATTTTGAGGAGGAATTTGCGGTATCATCAATGACCTCTGTTTAAAAGAGGTGAAACCAAATATACAGTAGTTTTAAATTGAAGTCGTGGATGATATTTGCATATTGCTGTATTTTCAGACCTCTATTAATGGCACCCAAAAGTAAAAACTTTGCTTGAGCTTGTTCCTAAATTGTCTTGGGATTGCGTAGAGTAGATCTACAAAAGTGGCAAAACACGGGTGTTGTACTGTACACTGTACGCAGTACAGTACGATGAATATGGAAGCCGAATCGCGAATATGACGCATCGGGTTAAGCACGTCGTACTGTACAGTAGACTGAGTTCCATGCAGGTCAAGTTTCGTGCCTCGTAGTACGCAAGCGTATCAATACAGTATTACTACTGTAGTAAAACCAGTACCGTATTGTACTGTGCTGTCAGTCGGTTTGATTGGTTGAGCATCAGATAGTAAATTGTTTCAATTTTTTTACAATAGGAGGCGAGTAGGAGCATAGTAGGAGTGTACCCTGCGACATACTGTGCTTTGTAATGATGTAACCTTCGCCGTGTATTAAAGACAAGGGTCAAGTCAATCAAGCTTCATACAAGCCACACGCTACAATAGCCAATTGCTGTGTACTGAACGTTGTATTTTACGATTCTTTGTATTGATAACGAGCGCGTGCTGAAAAATCGAAAAAATGACTAAAATCCAAGGTAAGACGACAAAAAATTTTCTGTCTTCCATATTCTCCACTCGACAGTACAGTATATGGATGTATTTATGATATGCTTGCTTGTTCAATACCTAGAAAAAGAATGATTTGTAGTTTGAAGCCTGTTGTATTGTACAGGTATCATCTGCTACGGTACCATTCCACAAAATGACGTGGTGCACTAGTCGACTATCACTCACTCATCAATTCTAATTCAATGATTCATGTTCACTGTCCATTGGAAATTTTCGCTTGAACCAATGCTCCATAGTACGCTGTACAATCGTACTCACTGACTTGAATTCCATACTGTGCAGCAATGATTACACATGGATGACTTATTTGAGCCCATTTTTTTTTAGTTCTTATCCAATAACCAATCATGAAATTGTGTAGGATTTACTTTGACTTGTTTCCGCCACATATGGATGGCTTATCCATTGAGAATACAGGATCATTCATTAGAATGTTTCACGCTTAATCTGCTATGCATTTGAGAAAGAAAAAGTCTTCATTATGCGTCAGTGCTACATCGATTCGCTGTCTTCCAACTCAACTCCGGTTCAAATGTCGATCACTCGCACACTAGTTGCAACTCTGTTAAATGCTCCTACAATACATTAAAATAGTAATTCATGTTAGTTGACCGACTCTAGTTCAATTCACAGCGATAGTGCTTTATGAAGCCCTAACGCTAGCCCTAACATTAGCTGGATCGCACTTAGCAATCCAGACTAGCAAATTCAAAACATGTGTTCTCTTTCTCTTGTCATTGCTCTACTGTCAAGTTTTGTCCCCAAATGGGTAGTTTTATCTACCTCATATTTGCCACCCAATTTCCCATAGTATATTTCCTAGCTTAAAAATATTAGTTTATGGTATAATATGAAAATACGGTATTTAGTATTTGCTTTACTTATACGTACAGTACACCCACAACTTTAATTATTTATTGAAGCGTGCCCCCTTTTACAATACTACTCTTGGATATTTTGATGTCCCTGTTTTACTGTACTAGACGCCGTCTGCCGTACGATACTTGGAGAATTCATGTAGTCTGTATACTTAAAAGGTATAGTAAGGCATTCAGAATACGGTGTTGTTCCTACTGACTCATGCTGTACTGTATATACTGTAGGCGCCGTAATACACAATACGATATCCTCATAGGTTATTGTTATTTTATGATTATTCCAAGACACAATTCTTTCTTTATAATATAAGCATTAGTGAACATTAACTTCGGAAATAAGAGCGCTTGTTCTGCGATTGTTAAATTATAATTATGACCTATTTCACACCTATCTAAAACGGTTTTGTTCGATGAAATGCATCATCTTATGGATGTGGGCAACAGTAGTATGGCAATGAAGCATAAATAGTCTCACATTAATAAGTTTTAGAGTGCAATCCTTGAAATCTCCGAAACAGCAAATTATAATAATTTTATTATTATTTTTAGTATCAATCTGTGTTATTCTATAGTTCTGTATGCACAGTACTGTACGCGTATTTTTTCGCTCTCATATTTGCGTTGAATCGTTTGTCAAATTTTCATTCACTACACGTACAGTATTCCATACTTATTTAATGTCATCTCATTGCAATTATATTATTAATTACAGGAGGCACTGTCGTAGAAGTGAAAGGAGATGAAATGACCAGGTAGGTGCATGCCGTGTCCATTGCGATCTTTGCATTTTCAATTTTATCATCAGTTTTGGTCGTTAGAATACGTTCTTAACTATTTTGTAGAGACTCGTGCTTCAGTTGACAAGATCAATTCAAACGCGTAGCCTCCCCCTAATTATACTAGATTGTACGGTACTCTTGAACCAGGAATTTCTAAAAACCGTAGTGGTTTTTAAATCTGTCATACAATATACAATAGTATTGTACATTAATGTAGTGTCATGGGTCAAAAATTTCTAGATGTCGCAGCCCTTCAGATTTCTTAAGGCAGTTCTAGTAAGGAGTATTGTTTGACATATTTCAGCTGTAAATCTGAGATACTAGTACCTACCTATACGGCCTACGATGCAGCTTACTAGTGAGTGTTTCATGCTTGTTAGATATAATCACAGCTAGTTTATTATAACGCGTTGTAGGCTTGGAGACCTATCAGTAATAGCAATCTCAAGGCGAGGCGGAGATGCTGGCTTATTGATTAACATAATGTATCACCCAAGTACAGGGTTCACTCATTCATTATAATGTAAACATACGGTACAGGCAGGGAATATTATTGAACTACTACTAGCTAGCAAAAGCAGCGAACTTTGACATGCTGTATTGCCATAGTTTATTGTACATTGTATCTACAAGTTAAATTTTGACATTTCATTGCTCATCATCGTATGGTACATCAAAAGGTAGCAAAAATACGAGTAAGGGCAAATACAGTACTTTTTACTCACCGGTTCGGTGACGTACGTATTTTATAGCGATCAGTGTCCCTGTATGAGTGCTGCATACAGTATTGAATAATTAGCTAATTAGTTTCACCCACATGTTATAAATTGCTGTCCTTCATCTGCTGTAGCTGCAAGTTGTATTCAATTTCTAAACAGATTAAGGGGGTGCAATTTAATTTAGTATAGTGATAACGATATCGCATGATGGCTAAATGTTAGTGAATGCCTTTTGTTAGCAGTAAATTGTACCAGTATCTACTGCAGTGTTATGCGGCGATATATACCTTTTCCTTCGTCAACTATGTTTATGATCGTCTTACGAATAAATATGTGTTTTATCATCTGATTACTGTATCCCTATAATATTTAATCTTTATTTATAGAATCATCTGGGAAGTAATCAAAGAGAAATTAATATTCCCATTTGTTGATCTGGACCTAAAAACTTTTGATTTAGGAATTGAGTACAGAGATAAAACAGATGATCAAGGTTAGCAGAATCTATATGATACTTGCTATTTATAATGCTGCATTCGCAGAAGATATTGATCACGTACAAGGTTTATGTCGTGATTTCAAATGATACTTAATTAAGGCTTTACTGTAGTCTAGTCGTGATAGATATATCTCTTTTCAGCTACTGTATTTTTCGTTGTCAGTGAGTGATACAGTAATCACTTTTGTATGATCATTTCATGAGATTAATAATAATTATACAGTTCTAAAAATAATAATCCTCTCCTTTGTATCATACAGTTAGCTTATTACATTACGATATACGCACTTTTTAGAATCAGCAGCTGATAATTCATTTTTGACGTAAAGTATATTTCTGTTATTCTCAGTTACTATCGAATGTGCTGAAGCTATTGCCAAGTATAATGTTGGTGTCAAGTGTGCAACAATCACGCCTGATGAAAAAAGAGTAGAAGGTATCATATCAGTAGTTATAAAAATAACTAATAGATTGTTTTTTGCAATTCATCGAAAACTCCTAGTTTAATTAATATTATTATACAATTAATTAATTATAGAATTTAATCTCAAGAAAATGTGGAAATCTCCTAATGGTACAATCCGTAATATTCTTGGTGGTACGGTGTTTCGTGAAGCCATTATATGTAAGAATATTCCACGATTAGTCCCTGGTAAGTATTGCACATTAGCTTGTACATACGAAGAATTAAATTTTATTTCTTGCTTTGTGAGAGTCGAAGTAGCGCTAAAGTTTGTAAATTGTAAACTATAGTAATTTACGGCTTTGTTAACGAGTTCATTTAGTAATTATCGATATAATGTTAAGATGATTAATTGTACTTGCTGCTTTTACTCATACAAGGATGGAAAAAATCTATCATAATTGGTCGTCATGCATATGGAGACCAGGTACATTGCAATACTGTAGTAGTCATTGTACAGTATTTGCTATGCGCTAGCAATAGAATTGAACAGATAGAAAGTGCACTTGCTATTGTCATAATACTGCTATTTATTTTTATCAAATAGTATAAAGCCACAGATTTTGTTGTACCCGGTCCAGGCAAATTGGAGATGAGTTTTACACCTGAAGATGGTTCTGCTCCAATGCGTTACACTGTTTTTGATTTCAAAAATACTGGCGGTGTTGCGCTTGGAATGTACAATACGGACAAGGTATGATCGCTTATTATTAATTTTTGTTTATGGAACCGTATTGTGGAATATAAACAGGATGGATTTTATTTAGTAAATAGCGGACCGACGATTAATCATATATCATTCTATTTCTATTACATTTTAGTCGATCACAGATTTTGCGCATAGCTCTTTTAAATTAGCTCTTGCCAAAGGTTGGCCTCTTTACTTGAGGTAACGGATAAAGACTTTAGGCATTATCGATTAAGTTTAAATGCTATAAGACTTTTTAATCTGAGAAATCATTTTACTTTTCAGTACAAAGAATACGATCTTGAAGAAATATGATGGAAGATTTAAGGACATCTTTCAGGATATTTATGAACGGTATGCAAGACTATGCCCATTGAAACTAATGAATATTTCCCCTTAATCTATATATACGATAGTTTTGCTTAGCGCTGCCTAACTGAAGCTAGATATTCGATTTGCATAAACTCACAACGACGTACTTACATAATGTTACTTGCTGAATCAATTTAATGTTATAGGGAATACAAAGCACAGTATGAAAAAGCTGGAATTTGGTACGAGCATCGATTGATTGATGATATGGTTGCATATGCTTTAAAAAGCGAAGGTGCGTTTGTTTGGGCTTGCAAGAACTATGACGGAGATGTGCAATCGGATTCTGTTGCACAAGGTAAGAAGAGATACTTATTGCTACTGTTGTAACAAACCTTCTGATGCCCTGCAAACAAAATAGCAAGTATTTTTACTTCCACTGTTAGACATTTCATATTGCATTTATAGCACAAAATTTTTGATGTACTGTACATTTTGATATTGAAGTATTTATCATGCTAATATTATGACCCTTCTTAGGGTATGGATCGTTGGGTATGATGACCAGTGTTTTAATTTGTCCTGATGGAAAGACTATTGAAGCAGAAGCAGCTCATGGAACAGTAACGAGACATTTCAGGTTTCATCAACAAGGCAAAGAAACGTCAACCAATCCAATTGGTAAGCCAGCTAGATATGGCGTTAATTGTACTGGATTTTCTATTGTGATAGCATGCTTATCTGTGGTTGTTCTATGACTCATTATGTGATTGATGTATCACGTTTTAGCTTCCATTTTTGCATGGACTCGTGGTTTACTGCACCGTGCAAAGTTAGACAACAATAGAGAGTTAGGCGTCTTTGCCGAAAGTTTGGAAGCCGTATGCGTAGAAACTATCGAAGCCGGTTATATGACAAAGGATTTAGCTGCTTGCATTAAGGGATTACCAAAGTAACTATTATTCATTTTTGTTACCTTAATTTTTGTGTTGATCCTAAACTAATTATGATAATAATTTTTCATTAGCGTTGTACGATCGGATTACCTCAACACGTTCGAATTCTTAGACAAACTGGCAGAAAATTTATCTCAAAAATTAGCTAGCAGTAAACTCTAATAAATATACTCTTTGCAGAACATACCCGTTTAAATCAATATAACAATAGTACTCAATCATGTTATAGCAATTGATTTGAAGGTACATTTTTTTAGCGGTATTTAGCATGATTAGGTAAGGGTAATTTCATTTTACTGCTTTTTTCTAGACATATGTGATGTTTTCGCTCTGCAACTGATATCACATGCAGTTACACTCTTCTAATAGACATTTTTTGTCAAGTTGCTGTGGGCTCCCGGAGCCCTAAGTTGCTGGCTTCAACAGTATATTAAATATCTTTTAATTGCGACAACATAAAATAAATCATACATACGCTTTCTGGGTATGATCAATACATGATTTTATGATTCGGTTTTACTGCGAATTGCTTTCTTCCAAGCACCATTGTTGTAGGTCATTGATCGAACCTTATCTGCGTTAATAGTGATGGAAATTATTTGTCCTATTACGATTGCTACTGCAACACTATTTATTCACTGCGATGTGTGAGCTTGCAGCCTGGATATTGCGATCATAACAATACACTACATCCTTTTGAAAAAGCGCAATTTACATTCAGTAATCTTGATCAGTGACTATTAATTTCCATAACCACTTTTAAGGATTCAATCCCTCGAGTTACCACATCTTTACAGTCTGAAGATTACTAAATATTTGCGATATAAGGTCAAGGTGTAGTTTTCCATATCCGGTATTGGTATCGTACATTATATCATTTATACATCAGAACATACTGTACTGCACGCATGATCAATTTAAAACTGGACATGTAAATTGCAGAGAACATGTAATCTACTTGCTAATTCATACGACAAGTATTGCATTATTAAGCGCATTTAAAAAATTACTACAGGCAATATCATAAAGATTTTAAGCTTCAGTCACTGCTCATTGGCCTATACGAATCACTGTTGTTGTATATGTGGTTAATTAAAGCATGCTGCATCGACAGTGTATGAAGGATAATTTTAAAGCTGTAGCTCAAATCTCTTTTTGGAAATTATTATTTTAACTCTAAACATGCGTACATAGATGTTGAGACCTCTCAATCGGGTCGTAATTTATGAATTTTAGTTGAAGATACGAAATATACAACAGAGATTGGAGTACAGTTGCAAAAAATAGTTGTACTATCACAAACGACAACATTTTGCTATTTAGGCCATGGAACAAGTTGACACTTGATTTGCATTATTACTGCACAACATTTCTGATCAATCTACAGCACTAATAATTATTAATTATTATTATTCATCGATTGGGTCACCATACTTATTAGTCCTTACGGGCTTTCGAAAGCCATCCTGTTTCCCTTGCATCGAAGAACTACCGCTATTTTTATCCATACTTTCAGGAACACCTCGCTGTTTTCTATCATCATTTTCTGCCCAACGAGTTCGGTTTTGCTGACGCAAATCGCTATAAGAAACCTGCTGGCGTCGATCAGGTTTTTCATCGTCGTCCCAGATTGCTAGTGGTGCGGCTTGCGCTGAAGTAGAAGTAGTATTCGTACCTAGTTTAAGGTCATCATAGGGCTTATTCCGAAAGGCTGGTAGCTCTTCACGATCTTTATAATTCTCTCTGTTGCTGTCGAAGGACGACGTTGAACGAGGAGATAGGCTACCAACTGGCTGTCCCCCTTGTTGCAAAGTTGCTTGATTATTTTGATCTTGTTGATGTTGCTGCCACTGATGTAATCGCTGGTATGGGCTGTGACCTTTCAATTGTTCTTTTAATCGGTCAGCTAAAGGAGAATTTTCCAATTGTAATATTTTTGCCATACACTGACGTCTATAAGATGCTATTCCCGTTAACAGACTTAAGCCAAAAATTCCAACGTAGTAAAATGCTCTCCAACGATGAATATGGGGCGACGACGCGGCTGCACGTCTGGTAATTACCACAGAAATTATTCCTAGAGGAATACCACGGTAATAGAGTGAATGGCTACGACATTCACGCAGTACGGCTTCTTCTTGCGGTGTTAATCTTGGTAAGCCCCTCTTGTCGTATTCTACGTCAGAGACCTTAGCCGAGGCATCTTCGCTGGGCATTTCTTCACCACGATTTGACATATTGAACAATCAGCATCGAATCGATTTGAATCCTTGAGCAAGTTTGCAAGCCACTGGTAACGACTTGCGAGAGTGCGTATGAGAACAGGTCGCAGAGTGCAGATGCTCAGAGGACGGTAGAGTACCAGTACAGTACCATTGACTGAAGTACTGTACTGTACAGTACTGTACCATACGATAGAGTTACAGTACACAGTAGAACCTTTCGGAAGGACAACAGCCAGCACGATGAGGGGTGTCATACTGTATCATCATTTCGGGTCCAGATTGTATTAGTTAGATGACGGCATAAAACTGTGTCTTTGCGCTTGCTCACTGTGGCTGTACTGTAGTCCAAGAATGATACAGCATCATTGTTGGACGGACAGACACCTGGGCCTCATCTCGTCAAAATATTACTGTACAGTGTACAGTACAGTATGCCAAACACTTCGTTTTATGGCACCACGAGAGTATGAAGACGCTCCATTTTGAATTGACTGATTTTTTCTCAACTGAGTAATATTACATTGAACCTTATTGTCTGTTACAAAGATCTGCTTGAAAACAGTTCTATATAGGATTATAGATGGTATTTAAATTAGTACCAGTGATTTAGAAACAGATACGGAAGATCCATACTAAGTAGTCATTTTTCGACGGTCTCATTTGGTCAGAAAAGTCCGTCTGTCTGATATACCGTAGACTGAGTAAAGTAAAAAAGGAGTCGCCGTCGCGTTTTCGTGATCTTAAACTCCCTAAATATTTGCAACGGTATACAGTATTACCTAGCATTAACTGCAATTGGATGCAAACTTGGTTTTGTGCAGCGTGACATGGACTTCAAGTAGTCGATGAGTACGCGGTAAAGTATAATTTTGCTTTGAAGCAACCTTTGCGTCCCTCCCTTACTACAGTACTTTACTCCCTAGTTCCTACTGTACACTGTACTGTACAGTACCAGTACGGTAGTACCCAAGAGTTTTGAAAATCAACAATAAATAGCCGTGACGTCATCGCTGCTACGTCATGCTTTCATCAGCGAACTAGCAGTCGTTTTTGTTGACATCTGAATGAATCGGCAAATTTTGATGAACATTCGAATGAATCGATGAAAATCGTGCAGGCGATTATTTTTAACGCCTTACGGTAAGCAAATCGAATATATCAATGCTTTACTAGTAGGCTATTGGTTCGACTATATTATATTCATTAGAAGGAAGTTCTGACTAATATTGCCCGGAAATAGTAGCTGCAATCGAGAAGTCTTGTATCGCTCATTGAAAAGAAACTTCTAGAAGGTAAATAAAATACACTAGTGGAAGGAAACCAAAGGTCAAGCATCAATAGATAAAATCTCATGCTAGATCGCATATTCAAGTCATTTCTTACACGACTTGAGCATTAACGGATCAATAATCATTCAAAGTTAAGATTGACAAGCACTATATTTTCGTACAGTCTACGTATACATCCTACTACTACAGCACAGTGCAAGATTGAGTAACCTCTACCAATAGTTTTGGTACGATAGACTTACTGTATAAATTGACAACATTGAAGTAGTTGGTTTAAATACTGATATTGGAACTTAACTTTATTGAACTACTGAAGTCATCTCGACGACTGAAAACCGAGCGCCACCAATAAAATTCAAAATTCGCAAATGAATATGGAGCATGATTTATTGTCGATTGGACGACATTGTTCCGTGAAAGATTGCAATCAGTTGGATTTTTTACCCTTTACTTGTAACGACTGCCACAAAATTTTCTGGTAAGGTATCAACTTCATATACCCATATTGTATGTGTAGCGCACCATAATTTAATGATGAATGAAGCAACGATAAAACGATGAAATAATGCTATAATTATACAGTAATATGATTTCACGATGGTAAAATTTGAATGCATGTTTATACGTTAACTTTGTACGAAATGGAATAACCAATACGTGCATTCTGCATGCGTATAGCATGGTTTATTGTCTATTACCAGTGGTTACAATTAAACTGCCAATGATCATTATCGAACTTGCCTACTCATATCGTTCATTTTTACTACCAATTTCAGCTTGAATCATCGAAGTCACGTAGCGCATCAATGCAAAGCCTTTGCTGATAAAGATGTATGAGATTCATACCATAGCTCCAATTTCCTATCAAACTTTAACAAAACAATTGCAATAATTTAGTAGCTTCCATATGCGTTGACATTACAGTCACGTTATTAGTTCAGTGGCAAAGAAGTTAACTTCTGGTAGTCTTTTGCATTACCGTAATAGTAAGCTTATTTACGAGCACGTACTAATTATTATTTTTTTTTTTAAAATAGGTAAAAATAGCAACATGTCCCCTCTGTGATAAACTAATACGAAGAGATCCAAAACTCAATCTGAATGACCAGGTTCGTTGAACAAATCAAAGCAATATTGTAGGTGTACAGAACAAATAACAAAGTTTTAAGCTTACACATAATCTTACAATTGCAGCATCGACTATAATTACCAAGTTTTATTCATCCTAGCATATCACAAAGATGTTTGCATTAACATAACATGCAACGGTTACTGTACATGACCTTCTATGACTAATACTTCAGCCTTTAAACTTACGTTGGGTTTTATGAAAATAGGTGGAGAGACATATTATGAGCGGATGCAAAGACAATGTAGCTAGCGAAGGGTCATCCAAGAGCAATAAATGCTCAATGAAGCAGTGTAGAACTCACGAGTTAATACCTTTCAAGTGCCTTAGATGCCATCACGATTACTGTGCAAGGTCTGCTTTTGTTTTAAACTGTTACAAAATTGATAAAGCAAACGTGCCAATCATTATTTTATTTTAACTACTTCTATTTCTATAGACATCGTCATATGGAAGACCACCACTGTCATACAATTCCAGTAACAGCAAGTGGATGAAGATCAATGATAGCAACATACTTATATAACTAACAAACAAACATGTTAACTTCAAATGTAATTATGTATTTGTAGTCATTAATATCCGAACAACAAGATAAACTAAACAGATAATTAACTTTTCGATGTTCATAATTTTCAGTTATTTTACTGATAAAGTACATACACACGATATACGCCTTTATTTAAAGCTATCCTAAAATTGTAAAATACTCTTGCTGCTAACCGAAATGAATACTGAGCCACTCATTATTAAAGTATCAGTCATGGCATAAAGGACTATTTTAATCAAATTCAATCTTCACCGTTGAGTTCTTGGAAATTTTTTTGATTATCTTTCAGCAGCTTGTCTATATTCGATAAGAAACGTATTCAGTGTTAATAGCAATTTAACGTTACGCAGCAACATTCTCTATGTTTGCGTTATGACTACATTACCTAGAAAAGGTTTTAATAAATTTGAATAAATATTCCATACGGTCGAAAGATTTTGACCACTATCAAAATAAATAGCTGCAGCTAAAGATTCAAAAACGTCAGCAAGTTCCTTTGGAATACTGAAATCGTCGTCGATTGATTTCGAAAAAATAGTGTACACCCAATCGTGCTTATTGCCATTTCTTGGTATAGAACCTCCCTAAGATGATAAATACTACGATCAGAATTTATTCACAATAGCTTCTTAATCCTAATAGATCAAGACTATAGAATCCAGTACGCTACCTCAAGTAAATCGGCCGTTTTCTTCTCAAAACCAAGGATCATCTCCTTTACGAAAGGGGACTGATAAAATAGATGGTGAAAGTTATATGCATAAGATAATAAACCATAGACCTCATTTGATATAGCAATACCATAAAAAAATTTAGATCTAGTTATGTCTTGATCTGTTGCCAAAAACAAGTATTTAATAACGAGATAATTCAAAATCGAATCACCAACGAACTCTAATTTTTCGTAATTAAAAGAATCTCCAAATTCGCTTGATGAATGTGTAAAGGCTAAAATTAAGTAATCAATATTAATGAATTTGTATCCAAGATTTTCCTCAAATTTGTGTAGTTTCTCTAACCACGACTGGGAATTAGATTCTTCAATCATGTGAGTAATCTTTTCATTCCAGACGTCAAAACCGTTGCTGATTGAGGAAAATGGCTCAATGGCAAATCCAAGCCATTTTAGAAAGTTTAAGCCTTCAGTTTCGTTATCAGGAAATAACAGTGCTCCAACAATTGCAGATATGCATTCCGCTATTGACTTAACAGATAAAAAATTGTCTGTTATCGATTCTATAATCGTCCTTTCAGCCAAGGCTGAATCGCTAGAGCTATCATCCTTGCAACGGATGCTAAAAGTAAAACCAGGGGGAATCCAACACTTTAACTGATTGAAAGGCTTGCTGATAATATAGGATGGAATATTTGTCTTAGCAGCTAGATTAAACAGATAAAATTCGCTACTTTGCTGTCGTCGTTTCATGGTTAGAGCATAGGAATTATCATCAGGGCAGGTTTGGTATAAATTAACAGCGAGAACCAATTTGATAAAAACTTTTCCTATATATTTAATCTTATTAAAATTACATTGCTCTTCTGCAATAGGGAGGGTTAATGACTGAGTGATACGATCCACGAGGTTGGTTGTTTCACGTAGCAATAGTTTTTTCCTTCGAGGTTCCGTTACTTTCTTCAGAATGGATGCGCACTGAATATAATCGATCATCTCATAAGCAAGACAATTCTTCTCTATTTTGTATAAGGTCAGAGGTAAAAACTGTGAGAGCATCCACATTGATGCGGAAAATGGATGAACAAGGCATAACTCAGGCACTAAGTGTACGAAACCACTATTACTTTTCTTACTTTCAGTAGTATTATTACAAGGGGATATGCAATTTTCATGCACTAAAGCTACAGGGAATCGATGCAATGTCTTAACAGCGAATAAAGGTTGATTTGAGTTCTCAATTCTGGTGTGATATTTGCGATGGTAATATGCTTTATAAGTAAGTCGCTTATCCGTCGGAAAACGAGAAAGCGGTGAGAGGTCGTAGCAGATGTTTCGCAGAGCGTATACGTCGACTTGGTTCGTAACCCAGTGGCCGTAATTTTTGACTATTAAGAGGTCATTAACGTTCTTGCAACCATCACCGAGATTACTAGCAAAGGGCCAGTATTTCCGTGGCTTCAATAGCGTTGCCATTAATTCAAAATTTATAGAATACATAGACCTAAAAGTAGTCAATAATTTAAATTAATGAAAAATGTCAAAGTATTACATTCAAACTTGTATTCCCTATACGGCTAATTCTATGCAATTAAAGTATATTGAATCCAAGCAAAGAATAATTCTAGTTAGCTGAAAGGGAATGTAGCAACCTGCTGCTCTTGGCGTAATTTAGAGGAACAATCATGTATTTTGCATAACTGTTTGTAGGATCGTAGATTAAGTCCGTTATTGTACTACAGGGTGTGATATTGGTAAATAAATACTCTACAAATTTCGAAATAAGGCTTAATTCATCGCATGAATAGTGCATCGGGACAGCCAGTGATTGTAACGAAAATAATATGTCGCCACACGATGTTTGTAAATAAGTTGGCTCAATCTATCAACGCAAAGATATATATTAAATTTTCTAGCCATTAGCACCAATTATCTTCTGAAAATAACGTGGAATAACGGAATGTAAAGTTTACAAATCCAAGTACAATTTAGGACCATACCTCGTGTAACTTAGTCTTGCATATTAATCCGAAGTCCGAACTACAACTGACAGTATCAATAGACTCTATTGTGCTGTTCTTTAGCTCAATCTTAATCATGTGAAGATAGAAGTTATCACCATCCTCGATTGGCATCGATAAATTGTCGGGGAACTAGCATTTAGCATATGTTGATAATGTTAATTTTGAATATTAGATCATATCATTACATTTTGTTAAGATTTTGCGCAATATTTGCAGCAAATAAATTATACATTGCACGTAATACATATTATAGTTTAAGTTAGTTAATAAAATACCTTAATCGGAAATTGCTTATACTGGCTTTTATCAATAGACTGATGATACTTTCCCACATTCGGTTCCAAGTTATCGGTAATTTCACCAACTTCATGAAGGAATTTACATGCTTCTAAGGCGGAGGCTTTTTTTGCAATTTTTTTACTTTGCATCATTGGACCCTTATTACAGGGGTTCAATTTTATTTATATCAGCATAAGAAGAGTATATATAGATTTTGTATGAGCTTGCATGTGACTTTGTAACGTAACAACTATAATCCAAATTAATGCTAGTATTACTTGTTAATTAATTCAAACCTCTATGGTAGTTTTTTCGGGCGGATTAGAAAATATCAACTTTATTTTAGCTCGAGTCCGATCATCATTCGTCTCGTACTCAAATTCAGGAGATTTACCATTGATCATGCTTTGACTGTACCTTTTTTTGAGTAATTGATATTATTTCACTTAACCGTATTTTACCGATCAAATGAAAATTACAGCAAGTTTTGAAACACACTAGACTGTACACCAACCTGAGCAATACACTGATAGCTGAAAACAGGTTAACTTCGGCACCGGTAGTTTCAACGACAAATTTGCTGCTGATTGTGCTTGCATCAGTCGTACTATTATCATTTGAGAAAAGGGACTTGCTTATGCCAGAAACGATAGTATTCAGCAATTCTGGTGAGCTACGTAGGAATTTTTCTACCGAATGCCACGAGTTATATTCTTCCATGAATGCATCAAGGTTTTCTCGATTGATCATCAGTACATAGGAAGAGTCGTCAGCACGCGCTCTCCCTCTAGACTGTAAATATGAACTAAAATGATTGACGCGATCAAATCTTATAACTACATTGCACTCAGATACATCGACACCTTCTTCCAGCACATTTGTAGCAACTAATAAATTATATTTATGCCTTCGGAATCGGTTCATCACTTCTTCTTGCTCATATCGACTCATTTGCGCTTGTCCTAAAAGTTGGCTCTTGATACTACTACGGCCAATGACACAACCAACATTTAAATGGGCTAAATTGGGATCCGTATGTGAAATTCGCACGAGTAATTCATGTAAAACGAAGGCGGTAACTCTTCTATCGACAAAGATGATACCAGTATCTTGCTCTTTGAAGGTGGTCAATACATCCAATAACTTGGCAAAATGAGAACACGTATAACAAGGGTGGGATTCATCAATCTTAGTGCTAAGTTTGGCTTCTAATATTCGTATAACAGGCCGAAACCAAGAATTACTAGCGGAAAGTTTGTAATCGATTCCATCCTTTCCCCTAAACATCCTTAATTCCTTTCTGATACATTTCACGATACTTTCGGCGACCAAAGGAAATATACGTAAACCAAAAGTGTTGACTGTGAGAATAGCTTCGTCAAATGCTGTCAACACAAGTTGCAATGAAGTAGATTGCTGTTCACGTTGCGCTTTACTCTCAAAAGAATTGGAATACATTGCATCGAATCCTTTCAAGAGGAAAGAACAATCTGACAGCGCTTCTACTTGTTCAAAAATAGAGGTTTCTGTGGTTTCGTAATCGATTACATATTCTGTTGGAGGTGTCTTGTTTTTATCGATGTAAGTTAAGTAACCCGGAATAGCGATAGTACTTGATAATTTTTCCTCTAGTTCTGCTAACCTTTGGGGCACTTTGCTCGGTTTACATTCTCCTTTAAATATACATGCAGTCAAACCAAGAATTTTAGGTCTGCCCTGTTCTTCGAGTGCTTTTACGGCATCCATGATACGGCTATACGGATGATGTTTGGTGGCATGATGGCATTCATCAAATACTATCAAATTGATCATCTGCATGTTGACAATATTCAATTCTAAAAGTCTTAATAACGTTTGCGGTGTGCCAACTATAACGTTGTTTTTATCGAAAAAATCTTTCCAATTGGAACGACGTTTATCACTATTACATTTACCAAATAGTTTACCAACGCAGAAACTAGTTTGATCGGCAATAAATTTGGCTTGCTGGTGAACAAGAGGGACTGCATAGTAACGGATAGATATTATTAAGATAATGATAAATACACAACATCTTTTAAGTTACAAATTAACCACTGTGGATCCTACTTGCATATCACCAGGATAGAGTAGCATTAAATAATAATACAAATTAACCACTGTGGATACGATTATCCTACTTGCATATCAATATCTATGTCAGGTAAAGGGCATCGCACCTGTGTTAACTAGGAAAATAGCTCTCTTGCCTCCTGCTTGTAGGCTCTTGGATAGCTCCCTGTACAATTGTCGAATGACAAGGACAGCAATCAAGGTTTTCCCACTACCCGTTTCTAAATAGACTATTGTATTTCTTTCTTGCGCGATCACAGCAAGATCTAGTTGATATTTTCGCGGTGATAATTTCATCCTGCTCGTATTCAATTCTTGAAAGATGAGTTGCGTTACAGCTAGGAGAAAAAATGATGAAAAAAATGGATTCAACACAGTACTGTTGGAAGTTCAACAGCACGAATGACCATTTAATCCAGACCAATAATCTTATTTTTAGCTCTTTCAAGATAGGACTAAGGACTACTAGGTCTAAAGTAATACCTATCACAATTTATTTCATTTACTATGTTCAGTTGTTCAATGCATACCGAACGATTCGCTTTGCAAGAATAGCTGAAATCGTCGAAATGGCAAGCTGCTGCAACGTGGAGTTTACTGCGCTCGTATGAAGTCCAATTGAAGCTTGGTTGACGGCAAACGATTACTTCATGTACTATTAGTCCGCAAAGTAGCAAACTGGTCAACGTATAGCTTGTCTATTAATTCTATAGGATAAAACCGCAAGCAAATGCATGGAAAATTGCACTCTTTCCCACTTTCCTACAGCGCCAAGGCAAGATGGGCAATGGCATGTGGTTGCAGCTAGTCGAGCAAGCCGAATTAAGTTAAGGTGCGAGATGCCGCAAAATGCAGCCACAATTCCTATACTGTATCAATACCTGCAGTTGCCAACAGCGACAGTCAATCAATCGTAGAAGGACCGTGCCATACCGTACCGTATCCAAGACAACCGTACTTTGGCTGGTGTCTAAATGGTGGATTTGTAGGATGGCGGAAAAAACTTTACCTTGCCCTACTTTGATTTAGCTGCAATTTCAAGCGACTTTGTCGATACCATCGAGATAATAATATAAAAATATGAGATCTATCTCTATGGTTGATACTAATTACAGTCTCAATCTGCTTACAGAAATAGGCCAAAACACTGTGTAAAAAATGATTGGATTGAATTGGCAGAGGAAGTAGAACGCTTTAGATAGTTGTAATTGGCACAGGTTGCTACCATAAAGTAGCTCACACGTGCAGACCTTAGCAGAACTCAGAGCCAGATAGTGGCAAGACCACCTTCAGCAAAGAAAGTGTATAGGCACCTAGTATTTCCTATGGACTTGATAATAGAGAAAGAATCGATGATTATCAATGAAAATCAATTTTCGGATAGTCATGCTAATGCTAAGGTTGGCTAAAATAACATTGCTAGCATTGCACAGCTCACGTCTGCTTGTCTGCACGATGATAATACTGTACACCATTCAATAATCTATCATCAATCGCCATGCCGATGGACTCAATTTTGTGCATAGCTTTGCTATTAGATTGAATAGTAATGAAATTATTCATTGCAATAGAAGAATTTTCCATTACAGTGCGATAGCTTTTAGTGTAATAGAAGATGGATGGACTAGTTGGTTTTATAGCGCTAGTCGAATCGAAAATAGGGCTTCTACAGTACAATCAAGATGTACTCCACACTAGAATTGCTTGTTTTTTTTTTTATATATCACTAAGGGATTCATGAGAGGCTTGATGTCCTAGTTTACTACTGTTTCCTGTAGTCCTTTGTGCTAAAATCGTTGATGACTGTTGACCAATGCAGATCTACGAGTAAATTGCGTTTGAACAGTAAATGGGCAATTAATTTGCAAAGGCACAATTGCTAGGCAACTAACGAATCTACAAATACGTAAAAGTAGATGTATAGCGATACTCATTATCATAATGGCTGCCGCCCGCCTTCCAATTAATTTACACTCTGCACACTGATTATAATACTTTGAATACAAATAACCAAGAAAATCGAGTATTTTTCTCTTTCAAATTAGTTCGATAATTAGCCCTGGTATAAGGGATAGCATACGACGCATGACCTACTGGAAAAGTAGGTCTTCTCTTTAGTGGTCCATGTACGAAGTTAATAATCAAGTATCGTGAATGCTTGATTGCGCAGTCCACTTCAGAATAAAATATTCATGGTACACATATTGAATAAGTTCCTAGTCATTTTTTACAATATCTTCAAAATTCGAAATAAATAATAAATCACTTATGGTACTCCTGTTTATTGATTTTACATAATTTTATTACTGAACTGATCCGCTAGTTTCAACTGACACAGGTATCGACGGAAATGATGAGATAGTTGCATTAGGAGAATTATAGAAAAGGATAATAACGATGTTTAATCTCTAATTACAGTATGACAGAAAGTTAGGTTTACTTTTCTATTCGTTACGGTAGAGTTAGTTCTGTCTTTAAGTATGCAATTAAAGTCAATGACCTACAGTAGTTGGATTTACATACTACGGTATTTCATCATATAGACAGTATGGAAGGCCCAAGTAGGCTACCATAAGTTTCCAAAGATTTAAGAATTTGGTTAGTTTTGATCTGATTACTCGTTGGTAACACATCGGTTTTTAAAGGATTGATTATGTGCTATATTACTTGCTAACAACATCTCTATTTCTCAACTAAACAAATTGACGAAATTAGTGAATTCATAAGTCCTATCATCAGTTTTAATATCTTAACGTAATATATGACGAATGTATTAGCCTTACGCAAAATAAAAAAAATATATTTACTTTATGCTCCACATTTTATCGTTATTGAATACAAAGCTCGCCATAATTTTTGTAAAATAATTTATTTTTTATTTATACAATAAATTAGGACCGTACATGTCTATGTACTAATGACACATTACATTTAGAAACAATCAATTTCTTTTCCAGTAAGCAAATAATTAGCCGACTATTACAGAGCTATGGAGATTACCAATAACAGAATCGATTCCGATCGGGTTAACTTTGCCTTTACGCTTTGATTGTGAAAATGCAATTACGTTTGTCCTTCGCAACGTTAGTCGGACACGACGCTTAAGTTCGCTATTTGTCAATGAGTAAACGACAGGATTAATAGCGGAGCTACAAAATGTAAGAAGATAGGCTGCTAATACTATGTCATCTGATATCAGTAACATGAAGTCTATAAATTCGACGTAAGATATAGTTATAAGAGGAATCCAACACATTAGACTGGTGCCAACAATTAAACCAGTTGTTCGGATCGATTTTTTGATAGTACCATGGCCTGATAGATTTTGTAAACCTTTTCTCCAAGCAATGATAAATATAATACTATAACACAGTACAATGATCACTATCGTGCACGATAGTATCGACAACAAAACCAATCCAATATAATAATTGTGATCTCTGTCCGTAAAATCAACCCAACATTGTTGCGATCCTGTAATATAACTGTAATGTCCAATACCATAGGCTTTCAAGCCTAGCATTGGCATAATGGCGATTACACTAGTTATTAGCCATAATATTACAATCTGGACTTTTAATACACGTAAATTAACAGATTGAGAGTAATAAAATGGACTAGCAACGGCGATACAGCGGTCGATACTAATGGCTGCAGTAGTATAAAAGGATACACCAATACTTAGGCTAGCTAATACTGCCCACAGTTGGCACAGAAACGGAGATATAGTATCTTGTACGATGAAACTATAAATAGCTAACGGCATAACAACAAGTCCAGAAAATAAATCGGCTAAACCTAAATTTGCAAGAAGTAAAGTACCAACCAATTGTGATGATCTTGAGTGATAGATGAGATAGAGATTGAAAAGATTACCAAACGAAGCGACCGAAGCAATTATTCCCAATATTGTAACAACGAAAATGTCTTTGTAGGATAAGATTGGCATGTAAGGAAATGAACTATTTGTTAAATTTATCATCACGTTGTGGTTGCTCGATCAATAAAAGCAACATTGATAAATTGAATTTTTATATCTTAGTACATAATTTGTATCCAAGTAGTCTATTTGGGCTCATGTTAAAAGAATGACATAAGATGAAATAAATTGATCACAGTAGTCTGTGGCTCTTTACTGCACGTACTTAATACTTTCTTCTGAGAATATATCACTGTAACTGTTCCCAAAGGCTTGTGGTAGTATCAATTTGAAAATAAGAGGAAAGTGGTGATAATATCTTTTGTCACGGGACAGTTGTTTTTTCCTATTTGTTCAACGTTATCATTCATTAGGTATATTTTTTTAATAGAAGGTCGCTTAATGAATATCCCAATGAATGGAGACAGATATATGTGGAAATTAAAATCACTGTAGAGAATAATTGACTACTCTTCACGTCAGCATAATTATCGTGATTACAGTCGCTTATTGTATTTTTCACTTATTTAATGAAATCTGATTATGATCAATTATATATGAGGATACATTTTGTTATGTTATATTAGTTTGAGTTTAGCTCATAATTTAATTTTATACGAGTACAGTAAAACAATGAACTTGCAACGTCTTAATTACTGTCATACTTCAAAGCAGTAATTATAATAGTGATTTAGAACTAAATTTAGATAAACTATATAATCGATATTGATTAACAAGGATAGCTGTTATCTATCCTCATTACTTTATTAAAGTAAACTTTAAAATGATCATAATTGATTTGATCAATTTTTATTATGATGAATATTATTCTCTCAATCAATGATTGTATCATCTAGATAATTATAATGAAAGCTATATATCCTGCATTATGAAGTTATAATTCTATGAAGTAATAATAGTATATCAATTTTTAACATTAATTATGACAGGAACAATTACCGGTAGTTGGCTAACCCAGTTAAAAAAATTACTTATTTATTAACTTATAAATTAAATTGCTATAATGAGATGGATTTAAATTAGTTTTAAACTCTAAATCATGGTAATAAACGCAGCTAAAATTTGGAAGCGTTACAGAATATAATGCTAATTGATAACAAATAGTAAGACCATAAGACTATGAACTGTATTCTGTATTAATTAGGTAACTGTTGATCTCAGGATCATTTTATAAACCAGCTTTGATTATACTGAGACACTTAAGTTCATGACTAATCGATGCTAGATGTCCTCCATAGTTGAAATAACGGCTTTACTGTTATTATTATCAAATAAAATACTCATCATATTTCGTAATAATCTATTTGGTGAGCTATCAATTATATTTATGACTTGGCTGATAATAAGCCAATTCTTGTTAATAGAGTCAGAACAAAAAAGTAAATTAATTTATCATGCAATATATCGTCAATTTTAAAGGTTACTATTAGTCAATGAATGCACTGTAGTTATAGCGATCTAAAGTGGCTATGTTGCCTTTAATACTGTAGTGAATGGGTTTTATAACCCTTTAGGTTCGCAACCTACTAACTCGAAATTTGAGTTATTAAAAATGAGTAAATCTCTATTGGGCGATGCCACAAAACAGCTTTGCAACAAGATAACGCAATATACGATCAATAAGTCAATTCCTTGAACCACGTATCAAGGAACGATATCTGCACTATCACAAACACTTTTGCTCTACTAGCAGACTACACAAAGACTTAAACGCCTCGTATTTTACGTTAAGCACTAAGTTGGAGAAATTCTCTTTATTTCACGATATACTGCATTTATATACTATTCCTCAATAGTTCATGAGTCATAGTTAATACAATTAACCTCGGAATCCTTTACTGAATTAGATATTACTTATAGCTACTGCTCCCTTAATGCAGACAACAGTATTTACAAACATAGACATGTAATGACTAATACAGAATAGTCAGATTACGATATGTCCTATCACGGAACATTTCCATGATAATTTACAATCTAGCATAAGTAAATTACAATCACAATGATTCGAATTGTAAGTAGATGATTTGCATTCCCTATTATAACTATTAATTTCAGTATGTGTATAAGTGTCACTGTCATAAAAAGTCAGTGCTATATTAAAACACAGTATATCCAAATTAGAAGTTAACTAAATAAGGATAGCCTAACAGAATTATCCTAACATAGTTATTTCTACTGTAATACAGTATTTAACACTGTAACAGGCGACAATTACTGTCCTTCATATTATTACAGTAATTTGGCTGAAATCGCTACAAGTACTTAAAATATTAAGAAAATCTAGGCATCAATCTTTGTATATAAAGTAATGGAAATAAATGTCCTAAAATGAAACTCACACCAATCGTCTTAAAATCTACCAAGTTACGAATACTGGATAATATTGTTAATACAGTTCCTGTTCTCAATTTCGTATTATTTCAATTCGTTCATTAATAAATCAATAATAGAATAAGATCTTTATTGCTTATTTCTCAACGAGATTAAAATATTCCCATATTTGTCACATTATTAATCTCTGATGGAACTTATTTGCTGATTTCATCGTTAAAACTGTTATTAATGTAGAATATTCCGTCTTTCTTCTGCAGCTACCTGACCCATAGAATTCCATTTCTGTAGATAGGAGGATAGATAGGGCTTAATACTTACATTCTTGCAGGAGACTATTATGCATTTAAAAATGACGGCAATAGAATATGCCTATAAAACCATCTGATCTTGGTGATATCAGTTTGCGCAATAGTAGCGTTACAATCCATCAGTTTTGATGATGTCCCTAGCATTCCTAAAGCTTTGCTTACTAGCCAATAATCTACAAGTGCAGTAACAGCTCTAGAATCTTAAATGATAATAATATTTAAATTGATTTCAATGCTTATAGTACAAGATCTATTGGGGAGTGAGTTTAAATACTGAAGCATCATAATCACTCAAATATAAAGATCGACTTTATCATATCAATTAAGGTGCATGCTGTGTAGAAAATCATATTGTAGGACTATTTTCATTACTTATCTCAGTGTTTTTTAGTGTATTTACTTACAAAGAAAGGTAAATTACATTTAAAAACTAACTAATGACAGTAGGGTTAGAATTGTTTATGAAAATTATAGAGTACTGAACATCGATGTTTTTGCAGTTATAAATTTTCTCAAGGCGTATAAATAAGGTTTCAATAGTTCTAATAAATAATTTGTAACATTCAATTAATAAGCGCATGAAAACTTTTTTTTATAATTTTTTCGACGAATAATTGCCATAGACATTATCAATTAAGAAATGATATAATCCAATACTTTTTACTGTTGTTAACGAGAATGTTGTTTTTAAACAGAAATAGACTAATAGACTAGTATTGCAATAAGTTATTGGCATTTAAAATATTTGTTGATCTCGTAATGACTTATAGTTCTGATCTATTTGTAATGCACTACCCCATTAGTCCCCTAAATGTAATAATTTGTTATTCTCCATATACCAAGCGACTCAATTGCTACTGGTATTTTTGGAAGATTTTTTCGTTGATGAATTAAAACCATTATTCACGAATGCTGGCAATCGTGCCAGATCTACTCTTGCCTGTATTGTAATAAAGTGACGAATTTGATTTAAAACATTAGATATTGAAGAATTTTTGGACACCTTTTATGACTCATTTGTTATAAGCGAATATTCTTGGAGCTCGAATATTAAAAAAAGGATGGATAAGAAATTTTGTATAATAAATTTAATTAATTCATCTTCTAACAAATACGTTGTGCGAGTTATGACACCAACCTAAAATCTATTAACGTTGCTAAGTGATCATGACAGTTAACTTCTACGGAAAGAAACTGGAGTCGTCTTATATTTGAGTTTGCTGTAAAGACTAAATTGAAAAATTTTACGTTCAGGTAAGTCGGTGATGATAATGCTTATATCTCTAAATGTTGCTTTTGTATTTTCTTCACGTACAATACCAAATGACAGTAATTTTATGAATTGGCAATAATAGAACATTCTTGATTTCTAAGTTAGTTCGCAGTTTCTACTACTTTCGGTCAACAAAGTAGTCTTTTATCTTTGTCTTACGGCGAGAATTTGAAGAATACGGTATAAGGATCGAAGCTAATCCAAATTTTAAATGATTCCTTAATAAATACGCATATTTATGGCTGACGCTTCCATCGAACAAGAAGTATTAATTTATTATAGGCTAATTTGAATATGCTATTAGGAAGTGAGTACGAAGAGACATAATGCACTCGCATATGCATGTTTAGTAGCTATACATAAAATAAACGAATCATAAAAAATTACATTGTCATTACGGAAGTTGATATTGTATGTTTTATTGCATTATTCAGATATTGACTGTTTTTAATGGAAAAGATCGAATGGATATATCTATATCCCCATTTTATTATAATTACCACTAAAATAAATATCGTAATAGAGATCGAATTTTTACCAGCACTGCATGAAATTGTTGAAATGTGTGCACGATAATATATAACAACACTCTATGGGTATGTGTACGGGATAGTCTGAGTAGGCAGTTTTGATCGATAGAATTCATATCCATAATATTGTTGAGATAATACAAATGAGAGTTTGGCTAAGTTAACTGGATTCTAGTTTACTGGACACTCAGTTTATAGTAATTTAATTTAACGTGAACCTTTTCGATACTACACTGCATACAAGAGTTATGGTATACTATTGCTATCGTACAAGAACGAATAAAAAGTCCATTTCAACTTCGTTTATTTTCTTATTATTGATACAGCATATAAAAAGTACGAATCTACGTATAGCTTTAAAAGGAATGGGCAGTAATATCAATACTTGACTATATCGATAATGTGAGTGTCATATGATGACTAAATTATTGGTAAAAATGAAATCGAAGATATTTGATATCTTATCATTCGAGAGATTTAATTGATATATACTGTGTTTCAGATTGTAATGAAGTCAATGGGTATGTTATGTATGTATACGATAATTATGTAAACCTGTTT